TGATATGGTCATCTGTCAGCCTTTAGTTACTGTGGTGTTGTCACATGGTGTATTGGAAACTATTTTCAAACATGACTCTTATTTCATATTTTCTTGTTTCAAATGAGTTTCATAAAATTCATAAAATGTAAAATGGTTTGAACTTTTACAATCAGTCTCATATTCATAGGCATTACAACTTGTGTGTGTGTTTAAATTTGAATTTTTAAAATTTTATTTCACATTTTCTTGTTTCAAACGAGTTTCATAAATTTTATAAAATGTAGAATGGTTTGAATGTTTGCAATCAGTCTCACTACAATTTGTGTGTGTGTATAAATTTGAATCTTTTATTTTGAATTGTAAAATAACTGGCACTGCCTGAAGTGTTTAGGTAAAGATGTTTGTGCTGACCAAACCATAGCCATAGATATCAGATAAATAAAACTTAAGGAAGCGTATGTCTTGATTGGAGGAGTTAGGTAGCAAAGTAAACAAGTGAAATATACAGGTGAATCATCATGTCTGTCTTTTCCTCTTTTCAAGGAACTGAAGGTGATCCTGATCTAACTTATTTCCTATCCTGATAAACAGGATGTATTGTTGACGTGTAGTGTGGAGATAAACTTAGTTGTCATGACATCTAGGAGTGTATGACAAGGTTGTGACACTATGTATGTAGTACCTGTGCTGTGGTGGCTGTTACAGTCTGGATGATGTAAATCACTGCTGGCTATTCTCAGTAAGAATTAAGTAAACAAGTCATTCGAGGCACCTTCCTAGCATTGAAGCTTTTACCAAACAGCTGTCTAATGTAGCTAATTAAAACAAAAATGGATTTTCAAATAATGGGTTTCCTTTTCATGTTTTATGTAAAACTGGCCTGAATGTGATTCTGTGTATGTGATTGTCATCGTTCTGTGATGTTATGTTTATTGTCAACAACACTTTTTACTGTTGGCTATTTTTATACAGGAACTTTGATAATGTATAGTTTTTAAAACATAGCCTTTCTGCACACTTTCTGAATACTTCTTCCCAAATGTCTTCTTTCTTGACAGTGGCTTAAAGCTTTCAGGATACTAGCTCCCTAGCCTTTCATTGCCATTTCTGGATTCAGTTCAACTCTCTAGTCTTTCCATGCCGCCAAATTTCCTGACATGCTGCCGAAACTTCTTGAAAATAAGTCTTTAGTTTGCATACAGGGAAAAATTTATTAAAAAAAAAAAAATTTTGCAAAAGACATTTAAGAAAGTAATCAACCATGAACTGTAATTTACAAAAAATAGTTTGTTTTGTTTCTTTTTATGATGATCAGTTGTTAGAAAGATTGGTTTGAGAAATGTGCTCTGTTCTCGTGATATAAAAAAATCAACTAAACAGGTAACCATGAAAGAAAGGTAACACTGCTTGGTGTTGGAAATACCTCAAAGTTTCAATAATTTCTGTTGATGTAAATTTCCCGTCGGCCATACTAAGGCACAGTGTTTGGGATAGAGTGGATCCCAAAGGCTGGAAGGGATCTCCAGTGGGTCTCGTAATTGGCTAGTTTGGTTTTGAGTTTGCGTTTGTCCGTTCCTTCCAGTATTGCGCCAGGTCTCCAATAAATAGTAGATATGTTTGTAAGGTATAAAGCATTGAAACATTATCACATAGAACTCGTAAACAGGTCGATGATTCGAGGAGAGATGTTGTTCTATTCTTTGTTTAAGGTTTGGGTCAGCTCCTGCAATTCTAATGGTTGCTTTTGACATCCTCTCAAATGTTGGTCAAGAACATCCCACATGTGCTCAATTTTTGACATTTCACGTGATTTCAATGGCCAATTTTATTATCTTATTGGAAAATGTATATTATATTATAAGATTGGTAGAACCATGGATCTAATATTTCATTATTTTTGCCAAATTAAAGAATTTCCTCTTTATACTGGTCAAATTACCATTTTCACATGGCTGGTATATTCCTTATATAAATATAGCCCCAAACCATCACACTACACAATAGGTTCATTGTAGAGATTGTCACACTTTCTATTGGTAAGCGTTTAACCTGTTGCAGACTGACAGATACACTCAAACAATGTACTTGTCTCTACTGCCTGTAGGATTCCTTTGTGTCATGTAGTCATCCCTAGCTGTGGTTTTGCCAAAGTCAGCCACTGTGCAGATGATGGAATGTTGATTTAAAAGTTTGATTTAAATGACTTAACAACCAGTGAATGTCTTAACACTGCAACCGTTGCTCCACATGATAGTCTCCTGCTTGTAAGCTTGTCCATCTGTATTTGTGATAGTAAGGGAATGATGATAAAGTTGATATATAGTAATTATAATTATAAGAGATTATTTTTATATGACAGTCAAACAAAGATACAAGTTGGCTACAGAAAACATTCTTCAGTGACAACAGATTTTCATGCTTAAGAGATTTTTTTTGTAACCCCCTTGGATTTTTTAAGATTGACATTTTTCTTCTAAAGACAAAAACATCATTTTGATATCACTCATTAACAGGTATATATTCTCCAGTGACATATGTCAACTTTTCTTCTACTGTTGATCTCGTATAAGTCTCTCATTTTCTATAACATGACTTCTTTAGAAGCCAGTTTCATGCCAGGATCTAGAACATTCCTGTGGGACGTGTGAATTTGTCAAAGTTTTCAGTTTCTGGCTGATGATTTATGTGCGGCATCGCTCCAACCCTGGCTCATCAGACAGCATTGATCTTGACTTGCTACCTATACAGACCTATTGGGGATACACTGATAAAAATATGTGATAATTATCGACAAGCCGCTAGAACTAGAATCATGATTATTCAGGCATCAAGTTTGTATGACTTCAGGTTTCCATGGCAAGGACTGCGTGTAGAAAAATTGAACATATCAGGCACCTATGTTTAGCTTAGATGTTTCCTGATGGATACTGTCCACTGTTAGTAAATGTTATGTCAGACGGCCACTGATTGTTAGTGTCCACTGTTAGTAAATGGTATGTCAGACGGCCACTGATTGTTAGTGTCCACTGTTAGTAAAATGGTATGTCAGGCGGCCACTGATTGTTAGTGTCCACTGTTAGTAAATGGTATGTCAGACGGCCACTGATTGTTAGTGTCCACTGTTAGTAAATGGTATGTCAGACGGCCACTGATTGTTAGTGTCCACTGTCAGACGGCCACTGATTGTTAGTGTCCACTGTTAGATAAGGAGCTTTATGTCTTAAGTTACGTGTATATCAGTTGTGACTCGGAGTGCATACTTTAGCACACTCTAATATAGCTTTACATCTGCTAACACATGTATGGTTAAACACTCTTGTACACCTGAGCACATGTACACCCTAACACAATTTTGCTTACACATACAAAGAAATGATGGATTATCAATATTGTAGACAATTTATTTATAGGGTAAGTAAATGTGTTGTCTGGTTTTAAAGGTCGAATCCGCTTCTGCTGTATAGAAGATGTCACTTCTGTTTCTGTACACATTGTAATCATACCAAATCTAAAATGTCTGACTCATCATCAGTATCAAACATAAAAATGTTTTATAACGTCATTAAATAAACTTTCATTTTGCCTCCAAGAAAATTATTAGATTGGATGGCCTTCTAAATCTAATCAAATAAAAAAAGAAATCAAATATTTCAAATTAAAATATCACAATTACCAATCCATATCCTTTGTCAAGAAAATTTGGATTTCCATTTTTTCATCCAATTAACTAATTAACTTATAATGGGTTTTGTACAAAGCCATGTGAAGGATCATGCAGAGAAAGGATGACAGTTGTCACATGTGGCAGACTGAGTTTCTTGTTTGATTACCGAGATGTGGCTCACATCCTGTTTTCCTATAGACAACATCCTCTTTCCTGTCAACTTGTGATATCAAGTGTCGCCACCATTACAGCAGTGACAGCCACTCACATCTACAGTATATGCTTCAAGTGTAATGTAAAAGAGCTAAGGGTTTATAATCTGTGTTGTAAGTTCTGTACTTCCAGCCAGTGGTTTTTACCTTGGTGTAAATTAATCCAATTCATTAGGGAAATTGTCACATGGAAAATAAACTGGCATTAAAGTATGTGCGTAATTTAGAAAATATATTAAAAGGAGATTTGTCTCGGAAAGTGTTTGCTGTAACCTCTTGTCTCGTGTATAACCTTATGCCTGTACTATGGTGACTTCCTGTTTCCCATTACTTTGACCCAGTATCAATAGTGACTTGATATCTTATGTGATCTTGACCTGGTACATATTAAGTGACTTGATATGTGACCTTGACCCAATATTATGCGACTATCTGTTTCTCATGACATTCACTGTGTTATAAAATTTAACTTAGTACCTGATTTGACCTTGACCCTATACTCCTTGGCTTCCTGTTATTCTATGACCTTGACCCTGTATTGTGACTTACTATCTAATGTGACCTTTGACTGATTGGTACATGTATGTTATTCCACACGATGATGTTTTTCTCTGACATTTTTCACACACATGTATATATCATAAGCTGAAACTCTCACACATAATATAGTGTATACTGGGACATAATGATCTCTTTTCTCTTGACAAGACTACAAATTATATAAACAGCAAACCAAATAGACACTACTGGATGGCTCCTGTCAGCATTCAGCATTGTTCATGAAAAGTATAGCTGGAATCAAAATAACTATCACTGATATTTTTCTTAAGGCAGTGATCAGTTGGACCTGGAAATCATACTGATGTGACTGTATATCTTTGTTAAAGTATGTGTCTTCATTATCAGGTCATGAATGTGATGCCTTCTAACAATTAGATCAACATTCCTGCGAGATCAACAATTGGGTCACAAGAACGTAAGCGTATGTTGTGGCCCTTAAGTACTATGAAGCATCATTCAAACAAGATAAAATTTGCGACCCTAATTGTCAGGGGGGGGCCCCTTATTGTCGCCAAATTTAGAACATTCTATTGCTAAGTGTACTTTGTCAAAGATAACCTTGTAGTTTTTCTGTCCCTCAGGATCCCTATGCCAGCACTGACATCAACAGCCATGACTCTGACCCAATGCCAAGATACGACTTCAGCAATGAAAACAGGTATGTTATCTAGTTTTTGTGGTATATAACTTCCTGATACATTTGTGTCGCAGGAGGATATCAGAGAATTTAACTTAGTGATCACTAGATATCAATCAAAAGTTTTGTCAAAATATATTTTACAAATAATTGTTGAAATTCCATAAATCCTGTTGATTATGATTGTTTTGATCTGATATTACACAATTCTGTGTAGATCCGTCATTGTGTGGTCTATCTATTTACAAACAACTCTTTATAGTATTACAGTCCATCGACACATAAATTTCATTAGTACTCACTGAAGACATTATCTGAAGATCAAGCCAATTCATTCTTTTAGTTAAAATATCACCAAACTTAACATGATAGTCAGTTTTACTGTGACACCACCAAAGACTGACTACAATAAATTGTACACTGTATTGATTAGCAGGTAACATATAAATTATGCAGCATATTTACTGTTCCAATTGTATGTATACTTGGGGGCTGCTGGTAGACTCCTACCAATTATACCTATGTTATGCTTGTTTGTAGAGGTCAGTTAATAAAAACAAGGGGAGTGGTGTGGGGGAGGGGGAGGTGAACCAAGATCCATCGTCAAATAAGGTCATCTGTATTTACATGTTGACATGAAGTGGTCACATGAAGTAAAACAATTCATAAATACAGATATTAAATAATACTAAAAAGCTGTCAGAGAGTTCAATCAGGATGATCTCCAAAATAAGGGTCTGATGATTTATTGTGATCGCCTGTTGTCCGGCGGCGTACGTCGTAAACATTTTCAACTTCTTCTCAAGTTCTACATGTCTCATTGAGCTGAAACTTACCTGAAATGATTGTGACATGATCCTGACCAAAGTTTGTTAATTTCGGGTTAGTCCGAAATCCAACATGGCCGCCATCTTGAAAACACATTTTTGACTTCTTCTCAAGTTCAGAATTTGAAATCTTGTATTTTATGTCAGATGACCGTTAAGGCCCATGGGCCTCTTGTTCTCTATTACAAATGCCCTAGTAATATTCAGCTGAAGAAAAGTGTAAGGTATTAGTAGACACACAGAAGATTAAGTCTTTTAGTGGCTGTAGACTTTAGTCTGATTACATCATTTACTGATAAAATGTATCTCTAATATTTGTCATTTTAGGTAATGAAATTTTTGTATGTAGATTTGAGTTGGATTGTCATCAGGAGATAAATGTGAAATATGTAAATGCTACTATTGCCTGTGGAGCCTGACATGTTTGGAAAAAAGAGGATGTGAAGAATATTTAATACTTTTCATTGTACTTTTTGTACTTCTCTCTGCAGGCACGGAACTCGGTGTGCAGGAGAGGTAGCTGCAAAGGCCAATAACTCTAACTGTATTGTGGGTGTCGCTTACAACTCTGGCATTGGAGGTGATGAAACTACAATTTAATTTTTGATAAGACATCAAGTCTCTAATGAGACTTCTAAAACAGACTGTATGAACAGATTCAAATGTATGACTTTATAGACACAACAGTATAACACAGTTGTAAAAATGTTTTAACTGAAAAATAGTTCACAGCTTTAAAGTAAATCATTTCTCTCAAAAAAAGAGTAAGTGAGGATACTATTTTTTTAAGGTTACAGATATACCTTCTGGCTCTGTCATATTTACTTTATCCTAAAAGATCTAAGTATGTGTGTGATTTACTACTGAATCTCAGGCTCCAGAATAAGGTTTATAAATGTTCCCTTGTTACTGCAGAATAAGGTTTATAAATGTTCCCTTGTTACTGCAGAATAAGGTTTATAAATGTTCCCTTGTTACTGCAGAATAAGGTATATAAATGTTCCCTTGTTACTGCAGAATAAGGTTTATAAATGTTCCCTTGTTACTGCAGAATAAGGTTTATAAATGTTCCCTTGTTACTGCAGAATAAGGTTTATAAATGTTCCCTTGTTACTGCAGAATAAGGTTTATAAATGTTCCCTTGTTACTTCAGAATAAGGTTTATAGATGTTCCCTTGTTACTGTAGAATAAGGTTTATAGATGTTCCCTTGTTACTTCAGAATAAGGTTTATAGATGTTCCCTTGTTGCTTCAGAATAAGGTTTATAGATGTTCCCTTGTTACTTCAGAATAAGGTTTATAGATGTGCTAATTAATCCATTTACCAGTAAAATTAACTCCAGTTATTGTCACATCGGTTAATGTTTCTCTTTGGTTCATACAAAATTTTCAGGAAACACTTTATTATTCTAATTCTTTTGCCAACATGTCACTTACATGGATATCATCACTGCTAATTATCACTCCATTTACCTGTCTAGATGACCATGGGTTTCTTATCTGAGAGCTTGACGTCCCACATGTAAACAATCTCACTCCCTAGTGCATCATTAATTTTTACCTTGACAAGTACAGAACAATGGATACTCTCCTACTTACCTGTAATTTGTTAACAGAGAAATACAGTGGTGTGCTAGTTTCAAGACATGACTAGCCAGATTGCCACTCCCTTGTATAAAATTGCCACTGTGGGAGTGACAAGTTGTATTGACAAAGAGACGGACAGAAACCTGGTCCACTGTGGGAGTGACAAGTTGACATAGAAATAAACATTTACCTTGTCCACTGTGGGAGTGACCAATTGAGTCATAGGGACAGACAGTGGTGACCTGGTCCACTGTAGGAGTGGTCAGTTGTATCAACATAGAGACAGACAGTGGTGACCTGGTCCACTGTAGGAGTGGTCAGTTGTATCAACATAGAGACAGACAGTGGTGACCTGGTCCACTGTAGGAGTGGTCAGTTGTATCAACATAGAGACAGACAGTGGTGACCTGGTCCACTGTAGGAGTGGTCAGTTGTATCAACATAGAGACAGACAGTGGTGACCTGGTCCACTGTAGGAGTGGTCAGTTGTATCAACATAGAGACAGACAGTGGTGACCTGGTCCACTGTAGGAGTGGTCAGTTGTATCAACATAGAGACAGACAGTGGTGACCTGGTCCACTGTAGGAGTGGTCAGTTGTATCAACATAGAGACAGACAGTGGTGACCTGGTCCACTGTAGGAGTGGTCAGTTGTATCAACATAGAGACAGACAGTGGTGACCTGGTCCACTGTAGGAGTGGTCAGTTGTATCAACATAGAGACAGACAGTGGTGACCTGGTCCACTGTAGGAGTGGTCAGTTGTATCAACATAGAGACAGACAGTGGTGACCTGGTCCACTGTAGGCCAGTTGTATCAACATAGAGACAGACAGTGGTGACCTGGTCCACTGTAGGAGTGGTCAGTTGTATCAACATAGAGACAGACAGTGGTGACCTGGTCCACTGTAGGAGTGGTCAGTTGTATCAACATAGAGACAGACAGTGGTGACCTGGTCCACTGTAGGAGTGGTCAGTTGTATTTAGAGACAGACAGTGGTGACCTGGTCCACTGTAGGAGTGGTCAGTTGTATCAACATAGAGACAGACAGTGGTGACCTGGTCCACTGTAGGAGTGGTCAGTTGTATCAACATAGAGATAGACAGTGGTGACCTGGTCCACTGTAGGAGTGGTCAGTTGCTCCTGTTTGTTGGTGTGTAGCCTTGTTTATTTGAACATCTGTGTTGTTTCTTGTTAACATATATTCTCCTACTACAATTTGCATATTAAAAAGTCTTGTTTCTATAACTGTCATTTTTATTTCCATTTTGAGAGTTAGGACAGCTCACTGGTGCTCACCTGTACCTGTTCACCTGTCAGTGTCTAGATTGCAAGCCCAATGGCTACTCTGACAAAGAGGCCATTGTATGAAGTTAGGGATGAATTTGTAACGTAAAGGAAACAGAAGTAATGACTATTAAACTCATGCATATTGATTTAATTTTGATACAATCTAATGTGAAAAGACAATAATATGACCTTATCAAGCTGATATCTAAATGTGAGTATATCTACACAATTGTGATGTTTGTATTATCAGATGTGTGTACATACAATGTATATAGATGTTTGTTGTTGAACAGGTGTGTGTACATACAATGTATATAGATGTTTGTTGTTGGACAGGTGTGTGTACATACAATGTATATAGATGTTTGTTGTTGGACAGGTGTGTGTACATACAATGTATATAGATGTTTGTTGTTGAACAGGTGTGTGTACATACAATGTATATAGATGTTTGTTGTTGGACAGGTGTGTGTACATACAATGTATATAGATGTTTGTTGTTGGACAGGTGTGTGTACATACAATGTATATAGATGTTTGTTGTTGGACAGGTGTGTGTACATACAATGTATATAGATGTTTGTTGTTGAACAGGTGTGTGTACATACAATGTATATAGATGTTTGTTGTTGGACAGGTGTGTGTACATACAATGTATATAGATGTTTGTTGTTGAACAGGTGTGTGTACATACAATGTATATAGATGTTTGTTGTTGGACAGGTGTGTGTACATACAATGTATATAGATGTTTGTTGTTGGACAGGTGTGTGTACATACAATGTATATAGATGTTTGTTGTTGAACAGGTGTGTGTACATACAATGTATATAGATGTTTGTTGTTGGACAGGTGTGTGTACATACAATGTATATAGATGTTTGTTGTTGGACAGGTGTGTGTACATACAATGTATATAGATGTTTGTTGTTGAACAGTTGTGTGTACATACAATGTATATAGATGTTTGTTGTTGAACAGGTGTGTGTACATACAATGTATATAGATGTTTGTTGTTGGACAGGTGTGTGTACATACAATGTATATAGATGTTTGTTGTTGGACAGGTGTGTGTACATACAATGTATATAGATGTTTGTTGTTGAACAGGTGTGTGTACATACAATGTATATAGATGTTTGTTGTTGAACAGGTGTGTGTACATACAATGTATATAGATGTTTGTTGTTGGACAGGTGTGTGTACATACAATGTATATAGATGTTTGTTGTTGGACAGGTGTGTGTACATACAATGTATATAGATGTTTGTTGTTGAACAGGTGTGTGTACATACAATGTATATAGATGTTTGTTGTTGAACAGGTGTGTGTACATACAATGTATATAGATGTTTGTTGTTGAACAGGTGTGTGTACATACAATGTATATAGATGTTTGTTGTTGAACAGGTGTGTGTACATACAATGTATATAGATGTTTGTTGTTGAACAGGTGTGTGTACATACAATGTATATAGATGTTTGTTGTTGAACAGGTGTGTGTACATACAATGTATATAGATGTTTGTTGTTGAACAGGTGTGTGTACATACAATGTATATAGATGTTTGTTGTTGAACAGGTGTGTGTACATACAATGTATATAGATGTTTGTTGTTGAACAGGTGTGTGTACATACAATGTATATAGATGTTTGTTGTTGAACAGGTGTGTGTACATACAATGTATATAGATGTTTGTTGTTGAACAGGTGTGTGTACATACAATGTATATAGATGTTTGTTGTTGAACAGGTGTGTGTACATACAATGTATATAGATGTTTGTTGTTGAACAGGTGTGTGTACATACAATGTATATAGATGTTTGTTGTTGGACAGGTGTGTGTACATACAATGTATATAGATGTTTGTTGTTGAACAGGTGTGTGTACATACAATGTATATAGATGTTTGTTGTTGAACAGGTGTGTGTACATACAATGTATATAGATGTTTGTTGTTGAACAGTACATATGTGTGTGTACATACAATGTATATAGATGTTTGTTGTTGAACAGTGTGTGTACATATGTTATATAGATGTTTGTTGTTGGACAGGTGTACATATGTTATATAGATGTTTGTTGTGACAGGTTGTATTGTTGAACAGGTGTACTTATGTTATATTCATGTTTGTTGTTGGACAGGTGTACATATGTTATATAGATGTTTGTTGTTGGACAGGTGTACATATGTTATATAGATGTTTGTTGTTGGACAGGTGTACATATGTTATATAGATGTTTGTTGTTGGACAGGTGTACATATGTTATATAGATGTTTGTTGTTGGACAGGTGTACGTATGTTATATAGATGTTTGTTGTTGAACAGGTGTACATATGTTATATAGATGTTTGTTGTTGGACAGGTGTACATATGTTATATAGATGTTTGTTGTTGAACAGGTGTACATATGTTATATAGATGTTTGTTGTTGGACAGGTGTACGTATAATATATAGATGTTTGTTGTTGGACAGGTGTACATATGTTATATAGATGTTTGTTGTTGGACAGGTGTACATATGTTATATAGATGTTTGTTGTTGAACAGGTGTACATATGTTATACAGATATTTGTCTGTTGGACAGGACTTATGTTATATAGATGTTTGTTGTTGGACAGGTGTACATATGTTATATAGATGTTTGTTGTTGGACAGGTGTACATATGTTATATAGATGTTTGTTGTTGGACAGGTGTACGTATAATATATAGATGTTTGTTGTTGGACAGGTGTACGTATAATATACAGATGTTTGTTGTTGGACAGGTGTACGTATGTTATATAGATGTTTGTTGTTGGACAGGTGTACGTATAATATATAGATGTTTGTTGTTGGACAGGTGTACATATGTTATATAGATGTTTGTTGTTGGACAGGTGTACGTATAATATACAGATGTTTGTTGTTGGACAGGTGTACGTATAATATATAGATGTTTGTTGTTGGACAGGTGTACATATGTTATATAGATGTTTGTTGTTGGACAGGTGTACATATGTTATACAGATGTTTGTTGTTGGACAGGTGTACATATGTTATATAGATGTTTGTTGTTGGACAGGTGTACATATGTTATACAGATGTTTGTTGTTGAACAGGTGTACATATGTTATACAGATGTTTGTTGTTGGACAGGTGTACGTATGTTGGATGGTAATGTATATGACAAAGTGGAGGCTGACTCCCTCAGCCACAACAACACCCATGTTGACATCTACTCAGCAAGCTGGGGACCAGATGATGATGGTCGTGTGGTGGATGGCCCAGGACCTCTGGCTAAAAAGTCCTTTGTAGAGGGTATCACAAATGTAAGTAGAAAGTCACGTAGGGGTGATTTTGTTTAGGAACCTTTATGTAGGATTGCAGTTCGACGATTGTTGAGTGAATATTACTTTGCCTTACTGGTATATATTTACATTTGCTAGCAGTCGTCTAAACACAACAGTACGAGACGGTCAGTGTAATGATGAGACTATATAGTTACCGCAAATCTGGCTGTATTGTCACACCACAATGCTCTTGTAATCGGTACCGTGTTTTGGCTGTTCCAAACATTGCATTTTACTCCATGGTATTAGAATGGTTTTTACCCCACAGCCTGAAAGGGTGTGGGGTATAGCGATCATGCACGGCGTCGTCTGTCTGTCCGTCCGTCCACAATTGCATACGGCTTATTATCTCAAAAACTACATCACCGGTCATCACCATTTTCACTGGGGATGTTAGGCCTGTGGACCTACACAACCCATTCTTGAGATAACTTTCCACTCACCCCAACCACACATTTCCAACTTTTTAATAAGGCTGTGGGGTATTGCCCGTGTTTGCGGAGCTATTTTTTTAGTTTAGCTGGTTCGAAGGACCATATAGACATTTTACCTGATAGGTCTTCAGGCATTTGTACCAGTTTTAATGATAATATTTTATAATAACCTTGTAGTATTTTGTACCGGTTTTAATGAAAATATTTTATAATAACCGTGTAGTATTTTGTACTGGTTTTAATGATAATATTTCATAATAACCTTGTAGTATTTTGTACCTTCACTCACTTATAATATTTAAATGGTAGGGACGAGGCAAGAAAGGCAACATTTTCATGTGGGCCTCGGGTAACGGGGGACGAGCAGAAGACAGCTGTAGCTGTGATGGATACACCAACAGTATATACACTCTGTCTATCAGCAGTACCTCTCAAAATGGTGGCAAGCCCTGGTACCTAGAGGAGTGCTCCTCTACCCTAGCTACGACATACAGTAGTGGGGCCCCTGATGAACAACAGATTGTAAGTCACATGATCATGTGTTTGTATGTATAAACTCTGTCTTTCTATGATATGTATGGTAAGGTGATTTTATAGCATTGTTGTCACTTAAACATTGTGTGTTCTTGTTTATAGTAGCTGATATTATAAAGTTGATAATTGAGCGCTTTGCGATCGTTTTATTTAACATAAATTTGCCAGTGACTGGATAATCAGAATCAGTTGGTCTTAGTGTTGAACAAATATTTGTAATGGTACATGACAGATAACGACAGATCTCCGAAAGCGATGTACAGAGACACACACAGGAACGTCAGCCTCCGCACCGCTGGCAGCTGGACTTGTTGCTTTGGCTCTGGAAGCCAAGTAAGTAACACTTACAAATTTACATTTACTCTTTGAAATGTCAAAGTGGCTGACCGCTGAAGCCTTTAATTTTGCAAGTTGATGGAATAGTATAACAATCATCTTTTCCAGTCGATTGAGGCATGTCATTGTTGACTCGTCAAGTGTAGAAATTCTGAGATAAATCTCTGCTGTATCTCCAAGCTACAATTAATATTTGTGTGTAAATACATCTTGGTCTTTATCATTAAAGGGTTGTCTGTGTCTGTGCCTTAGGCATTTTAAGTTGGGTGGGGAGTGGGGCACAAATTCATTCTGTCCTATCCCATACTGTTTGAACCCTATCTCATTGCATCCCATTCTATCCTGTCCTTTCCCATATTGTCTGGTTCCCCATTCGTCTGTCCTATCTTTTCCTGTCCTGTACTGTATGGTCTGGTCCTTTTCTCCTCCCATCCTGTCCAGTCTGGTCCCTTATTTTGCCTGGATCCCTTCCCAGTACTATATTATTGGAATACCCTCAGTAAGGTGTTGAAAGTTTTTTATGTATATAAATGTTACACAAAGATATGCATGGGAGCATGGCTTTCATGACTGACATTTTCTTGTTTACTTCATGGAATTAAATCTTTGAAATGAATGTGATTTTCTGATCTTGTTTATTCTTAGTCCGAGACTAACATGGAGAGATGTACAGTATATCACATTGCTGTCGGCCAACCCAGAACCCATGGCGGATGGACAGTGGCGAGTCAATGGCATGGGAAGGAAAGGTGAGAGAAGGTCCTGATGTTTGACTGCGGACTGAACAGGATGCAGGAAGTCAATACAATGATTTAGTCTTTCTGTTGTGTATATGTAAAATATATCTCCAACAAAAAATATATACTATTATTCAATAGCATGGAACAGAAAGATAACTTTATAGATCTGTGAATGATGTACACTAACATCTCTATAACTGTTTACAGTGAGTCTTAGGTATGGTTACGGCCTGATGAATGCCACTAAGATGGTCTACCTTGCCGAGCGCTGGACTACTGTACCAACACAACACATCTGTACTATCAGTGGGACCAAGCAAAATGTGTATGTACTGCTTACTTTAGTAGACAAACTTACTTAAGTCAATATTTATGGGATATATTTAAAAGGGTGCATGCAAGGGTAAAAAAATATTGTCAGTTTTCTTTTAGATTTCTGTAAAACTTTCAAATTTTCTCTTCTTGCTTTTAGCACAGTAATTCTGCCAAATGCAAGTCTTCACTACTGTTGTTTTTTAAAGGATATAATATTGTAATAACATTTCTACTGCTACTTATGATTCTGATATATGAAATTTTAAGCTAAAGACTTATTATACATCAGTACTGTCATTGATGTAATGCTTCATTCTTCACCAGGCCGTTGTACAAGTACAACATGTTTGAGAATCAGATAACAACAGATGGCTGTGCTCGTTCATCTAATGAAGTACGTTACCTTGAGCATGTCCATGTTAGAATTACCCTAACATACAAACGTCGTGGTGATCTCTCCATCCACTTGGTCTCACCGAGCGGCACAAATTCCACACTACTGCCAAAGAGGAATCGTGACTTAAGTGATGGTGGTTTTAAAGACTGGGAGTTTTTGTCTGTACACTTCTGGGAGGAGAATCCAGCAGGGAGCTGGACTCTTCTGATTGTGGATCAGATAAATCCATATGCTGGAAATGATCAGCAAGGTAGGTGTTTTCACAATTTGGTTAGCTTTAAACTTCAATTCAGAACAGGTAAAGATTGACTGGACATTATTGTGGTATTTCTTTGTTAGTCCAGATGCCATGGTAACAGAAGTGTTTACAGAGACTGCAGTGTGTTTCACTGTAATCAAGTGGAAGTCATTTCCATGGATCACTTAATGATACCTTAATTCCAGGGAGACCTTGATAGTCTAATGCACAGACACAAATATCATCGGCCTCACCTTTCCATAGTTTATTTATGTAGAAGTCTATACCAAAGTGATCCTCTCTTGTACTCAAATCTTGGAAAAACGTGTAACCTCTGGGAAAATTACACATGGATACAGTTGTCCAAAGGTAAATCCCTGAGAAAATTACACATGGATATGGCTGTCCAAAGGTAAATCCCTGGGAAAATTACACATGGATACAGTTGTCCAAAGGTAAATCCCTGGGAAAATTACACATGGATACAGTTGTCCAAAGGTAAATCCCTGGGAAAATTACACATGGATACAGTTGTCCAAAGGTAAATCCCTGGGAAAATTACACATGGATACAGTTGTCCAAAGGTAAATCCCTGGGAAAATTACACATGGATACAGTTGTCCAAAGGTAAATCCCTGGGAAAATTACACATGGATACAGTTGTCCAAAGGTAAATCCCTGGGAAAATTACACATGGATATGGCTGTCCAAAGGTAAATCCCTGGGAAAATTACACATGGATACAGTTGTCCAAGGTAAATCCCTGGGAAAATTACACATGGATATGGCTGTCCAAAGGTAAATCCCTAGGAAAATTACACATGGATACAGTTGTCCAAAGGTAAATCCCTGGGAAAATTACACATGGATATGGCTGTCCAAAGGTAAATCCCTAGGAAAATTACACATGGATACAGTTGTCCAAAGGTAAATCCCTGGGAAAATTACACATGGATATGGCTGTCCAAAGGTAAATCCCTGGGAAAATTACACATGGATAGAGTTGTCCAGAGGTAAATCCCTGGGCAAATTACACATGGATATGGTTGTCCAAAGGTAAATCAAACAGGAAAAAAAATTCCAAAATGTTGACAACCAACTATCTCATTATTTTAATGTCCAATCAAAAAATTATACATGAAGTGGATAACCATGACTTCTCTGATACAAAAGAATGTACTCACATCTTTGTTATGTTTCAGGCAAACTTGTGAACTGGTCACTGGTGTTGTATGGTACACAGGACAAGCCAGTTAATCTAAAGGAGACTCCATCACAGACGCCGCCCACAAATGTAAGTCTAGAATTGTCGGAGGTACCTAGCATTAACACATTGAATATTCCTTGTGAAAGATCATATTTACACTACAATAATATTGTGGTGGTGAAGTGCTAGACAGTAGTTTCCTGGTAGGCAGCATGATTTAAGTTGCATTCATTTAGCTTGGTAGAAGTGATGTAGATGGCTTAGAATTATTCCACTATGAACAAAAGCACCTGTTCCAGTTGTGGAAAAAGTCATAGTACAGCTTCTCAAACAGTGTCAAAATTTTCTGACAGATGTAAAACAATGAACTTAATATACTCCCTTCTCATCCATAATATCAGGACTTTTCCAAAATATGCAATGACAGTGTTAAGGTTGAAATTTTCAAATATCAGTCTATAAGATTTTCAAACAGAAACTGCAGTCTTCCTCAAACTGCTGGGGTTAAATTACCTAAAGGCCAACCTTAATCTTGATCTGTGTAGTTGTTTCAACATTCCAACCACTTACATAAAACCCTGATTTGTATATCTGTCTCTAGCCTACAAAATGCATTAATTTAAACATTGCACATAATAATAGACAATAATTTAATATCCAGCATTTTCTGAAGTTGATTACCTGCACGTGCACTTTCAGGAATTTTCTTTCATCTCTGTGGTTATGCAGACAGCATCTGTGTAAATATCAGTAATTATCCGTGTATACTTCAGACTCTAAGAACTGCCTTGTTAGTCCTAGAATGTTGTATCATGTTAAATGTTATTTTACAGACCTGTCACTCCGAGTGTGTCGATACATGTAAAGGACCTAATCCTGAGGATTGTACCCGCTGTAAACACTACAGAGTCCAAGATGGGTAAGTTTTATTCTCCAATAAAATAAAGCTCTTTGGTTTTTATTCTTTTAACACTTATTTTCTGATGAAAAATTAGCCTGATGCATTTTATTTTGATACATAATTAATCCCCCCTGATTGCAGCCCCTGTGTACAAACCTGCCCGGCGGCATACCGAGTTGACCGTGATTTGTGTGTGCCATGCAGTTCCAACTGTCAGCACTGTGTGACTGTGTCTGGATCAAGAGAACACTGCGAGCAGTGTAAAGGAAACATGATGTCAATAGAGAATGAAGGTTCATGTGTCACTTCCTGTCCACCTGGATTCTTCAAAGGTGCGTAACTCTATTTAGAATCTTTCAATTTATCAAGGGTTTACCAATTCTTGCCACATCTAAAACCAAATGAAGATGCGTCTCTGCAAAGATGTAAATTGTTCTTTCAAATCAATCTTTTGTGAGTAAAATGTTTTAAAATGTAACATATTCAGAGACAGTGATAAAAAATTATAATTGTGAAGACAAGTGAAAAAAGTTTAATGTTCTGCATTAAAACTCAAAATGAAATTACGAGCTAAAACAGAGTAAAGAAGAGAGAAGAAAGGAAAGGATCCAGCTGTTATAAGAGAAATAAATAGAGATCTCATGTTGACAACATTATGTATTAAAGAAATATTGTAGTTTAGATGTTAAGAATTATTTCCTTTGTTCTTCAGTAATTGGTACATAAAGCATGTTGCTTGTTCTCACATACCATGCTAATGTTAAGAATTATTCCTTTTATACTTTTTCTCTGCCAGTTGGTACATCCAGAGTGTGCCGCAGGTGCTCTCAGCAGTGTGAGTTATGTGCTCTTACTGCTAACCACTGCCTCAAATGTGTCGCAGGCATGGTACTTAAAGACAACAAATGTATACTTCCACCTACACTCTGTCCTGAAGGTAAGTTGTATCCCACAATTCCTTTTTTTTTATATACATCTGTATGGAAAATAAAATTGTTGAAATTTTGTTTATATACAACTTATTCACAGTTTTATGAATTTTCTGACAGTGTTGTTTCTAACACTACTAACCTCAGTGAAAGCAAATGTGTTGTGACACCACATCGCGCTGTTATTACATTACACCATGTCGTACATCGCTTCATACTTCATCTGCCCACGGAAAAGTCTTACAAGGTACTGTGAACATGGCTTTACTGCTGTCATATCTTAGCATGACAAACCACTTCTACAACTTACACATCCTCTGTGCTGTATTTGTTAAATAAGGTTCCTTGGTCTGATTTACTAGGTATCTAAAATTAACTATAGCCTATAACGTATTATCTGCTTCTTGGTCTCTAGTTGTGTAAACTTTCCAGTCATATCTTTGGAATCATTGTCATATCTTTAGAAACTCTCAACAGATTTCATATTTTTTGTTCACCTACTTTATTTGGAACTTTAGTCCAAAGGTTTGCATTAACCAGCATGCTTTGCTTCAATTCATTCAGATAGTTCCACAGTTCAGTAATTACAAATTCTGTTTTAATGTTTACATCAACCAATTAGGATTTTTCTCTGTTCCCTCCTAGGTTTTAACAATTTAGGGTCTTGGTCTCCTTGAAGGGCAAAACAGCTGTATGATACAGTTTGTCATTGTTTCTGTCTGATTCTTAATTTGTATTAAAAGGTACTGCTTCCCTGTGTCTTTCGTACAGTCATAAGGTGGTCAAAGGGTCAACGTTGAAGAGCTAAAGGTCACATTTGACAACATCAACGATTTTATCAAACATCTTATCTGCATGGCAGGTGCATTGATGTCTTCCTAGTCTTTACTATTGCCTTTAAGTATCTAATGATTGAAAATAGCCATCAACACATACTACTGTGATCAAGTAGATGTAAAAGGTGTGATATGTTTCAGGTACATACAAGAACAGGATGGGACGCTGCCAGTCATGTGATGTAGGCTGTCGTATCTGTGATGGGCCAGGCCAATGTATTTACTGCAAGAACAACTTCAGGTTTGTTAAATAGCTACAACTTTGTAGGGAAAAGTAGTGGAACCCAATACTGGGAAAAGTTGGTCAATCTGTTGATAGGTAAACTTCATGGTGGAGGAGGTCTTTACGTAATTTTCTATCAATTATCCCATCCCATTTCCGAGGCAAGTCTTCACCAACCTCATCCTGTTCCAAATTAATGTCCTTGCATGAGGACATCTCCACATGTTTATTTATATTTACCCCATGGTATCAGAACATCATGTTCTATATCAGATCATCATGTTCTATATCAGATCATCATGTTCTATATCTCAGATCATCATGTTCTATATCAGATCATCATGTTCTATATCTCAGATCATCATGTTCTATATCTCAGATCATCATGTTCTATATCAGATCATCATGTTCTATATCTCAGATCATCATGTTCTATATCAGATCATCATGTTCTATATCAGATCATCATGTTCTATATCTCAGATCATCATGTTCTATATCAGATCATCATGTTCTATATCAGATCATCATGTTCTATATCAGATCATCATGTTCTATATCAGATCATCATGTTCTATATCAGATCATCATGTTCATATATCTCAGATCATCATGTTCTATATCAGATCATCATGTTCTATATATCAGATCATCATGTTCTATATCTCAGATTCTCATGTTCTATATATATCATGATCTATATCAGATCATCATGTTCTATATCAGATCATCAGTTCATCATATATCATCATGTCATCATGTTCTATATCAGATCATCATGTTCTATATCAGATCATCATGTTCTATATCTCAGATCATCATGTTCTATATCTATATCTATATCAGATCATCATGTTCTATATATCATATCATCATGTTCTATATTCTATATCAGATCATCATGTTCTATATCAGATCATCATGTTCTATATCTCAGATCATCATGTTCTATATCAGATCATCATGTTCTATATCTCAGATCATCATGTTCTATCTCAGATCATCATGTTCTATATCTCAGATCATCATGTTCTATATCAGATCATCATGTTCTATATCTCAGATCATCATGTTCTATATCAGATCATCATGTTCTATATCAGATCATCATGTTCTATATCAGATCATCATGTCAGATCATCATGTTCTATATCAGATCATCATGTTCTATATCAGATCATCATGTTCTATTCAGATATCATCTATATCAGATCATCATCTATATCAGATCATCATGTTCTATATCAGATCATCATCTCAGATCATCATGTTATATCTCAGATCATCATGTTCTATATCAGATCATCATGTCAGATCATCATGTTCTCAGATATCTCAGATCATCATGTTCTATATGTTCTATATCAGATCATCATGTTCTATATCAGATCATCATGTTCTATATCAGATCATCATGTTCTATATCAGATCATCATGTTCTATATCAGATCATCATGTTCTATATCAGATCATCATGTTCTATATCTCAGATCATCATGTTCTATATCAGATCATCATGTTCTATATCTCAGATCATCATGTTCTATATCAGATCATCATGTTCTATATCTCAGATCATCATGTTCTATCTCAGATCATCATGTTCTATATCAGATCATCATGTTCTATATCTCAGATCATCATGTTCTATATCAGATCATCATGTTCTATATCAGATCATCATGTTCTATATCAGATCATCATGTTCTATATCTCAGATCATCATGTTCTATATCAGATCATCATGTTCTATATCAGATCATCATGTTCTATATCTCAGATCATCATGTTCTATATCAGATCATCATGTTCTATATCAGATCATCATGTTCTATATCTCATATCATCATGTTCTATATCAGATCATCATGTTCTATATCTCAGATCATCATGTTCTATATCAGATCATGATGATCATCATGTTCTATATATCAGATCATCATGTTCTATATCAGATCATCATGTTCTATATCAGATCATCATGTTTCAGATCATATCAGATCATCATGTTCTATATCAGATCATCATATATCTCAGATCATTCTATATCATCAGATCATCATGTTCTATATCAGATCATCTATATGTCATCATGTTCTATATCTCAGATCATCATGTTCTATATTCATCATGTTCTATATCAGATCATCATGTTCTATATCTCAGATCATCATGTTCTATATCAGATCATCATGTTCTATATATCATCATGTTCTATATCAGATCATGTTCTATATGTTCTATATGTTCTATATCTCATCAGATCATCATGTTCTATATCATCAGTTCTATATCATCATGTTCTATATCAGATCATCATGTTCTATATCAGATCATCATGTTCTATATCAGATCATCATGTTCTATATATCATCATGTTCTATATATCAGATCATCAGATCAGATCATCATGTTCTATATCAGATCATCATGTTCTATATCAGATCATCATGTTCTATCTCAGATCATCATGTTCTATGTTCTATATCTCAGATCATCATGTTCTATATCTCAGATCATCATGTTCTATATCAGATCATCATGTTCTATATCTCAGATCATCATGTTCTATATCTCAGATCATCATGTTCTATATCTCAGATCATCATGTTCTATATCTCAGATCATCATGTTCTATATCAGATCATCATGTTCTATATCAGATCATCATGTTCTATATCTCAGATCATCATGTTCTATATCTCAGATCATCATGTTCTATATCAGATCATCATGTTCTATATCAGATCATCATGTTCTATATCTCAGATCATCATGTTCTATATCAGATCATCATGTTCTATATCTCAGATCATCATGTTCTATATCTCAGATCATCATGTTCTATTCTATATCATCATGATCATCATGTTCTATATATCTATATCAGATCATCATGTTCTATATCAGATCATCATGTTCTATATCAGATCATCATGTTCTATATCTCAGATCATCATGTTCTATATCTCAGATCATCATGTTCTATATCAGATCATCATGTTCTATATCAGATCATCATGTTCTATATCAGATCATCATGTTCTATATCAGATCATCATGTTCTATATCAGATCATCATGTTCTATATCAGATCATCATGTTCTATATCAGATCATCATGTTCTATATCTCAGATCATCATGTTCTATATCAGATCATCATGTTCTATATCAGATCATCATGTTCTATATCTCAGATCATCATGTCAGATCATCATATCTATATCAGATCATCATGTTCTATATCAGATCATCATGTTCTATATCTATATCAGATCTATATCATGTTCTATATATCACATCATGTTCTATATCTCAGATCATCATGTTCTATATCAGATCATCATGTTCTATATCAGATCATCATGTTCTATATCTCAGATCATCATGTTCTATATCAGATCATCATGTTCTATATCTCAGATCATCATGTTCTATATCAGATCATCATGTTCTATATCTCAGATCATCATGTTCTATATCAGATCATCATGTTCTATTCAGATCATATGTTCTATATCAGATCATCATGTTCTATATCAGATCATCATGTTCTATATATCAGATCATCATGTTCTATATCATGTTCTATATCAGATCATCAGATCATCATGTTCTATATCAGATCATCATGTTCTATATCAGATCATCATGTTCTATATCAGATCATCATGTTCTATATCAGATCATCATGTTCTATATCATATCATGATCATCATGTTCTATATCAGATCATCTATATATCAGATCATCATGTTCTATATCAGATCATCATGTTCTATATCTATATCAGATCATCATGTTCTATATCAGATCATCATGTTCTATATCAGATCATCATGTTCTATATCTCAGATCATCATGTTCTATATCAGATCATCATGTTCTATATCAGATCATCATGTTATATCAGATATCATCAGATCATCATGTTCTATATCAGATCATCATGTTCTATCTCAGATCATCATGTTCTATATCAGATCATCATGTTCTATATCAGATCATCATGTTCTATATATCAGATCATCATGTTCTATATCAGATCATCATGTTCTATATATCAGATCATCATGTTCTATATATCAGATCATCATGTTCTATATATATCAGATCATCATGTTCAGATATATATATATCAGATCATCATGTTCAGATATATATCAGATCATCATGTTCTATATCATGTTCTATATCTCAGATCATCATGTTCTATATCAGATCATCATGTTCTATATCAGATCATCATGTTCTATATCAGATCATCATGTTCTATATCAGATCATCATGTTCTATATCTCAGATCATCATGTTCTATATCAGATCATCATGTTCTATATCAGATCATCATGTTCAGATATATGTTCTATATATCAGATCATCATGTTCTATATCAGATCATCATGTTCTATATCAGATCATCATCATGTTCTATATCAGATCATCATGTTCTATATCTCAGATCATCATGTTCTATATCAGATCATCATGTTCTATATCAGATCATCATGTTCTATATCTCAGATCATCATGTTCTATATCAGATCATCATGTTCTATCTCAGATCATCATGTTCTATCTCAGATCATCATGTTCTATATCAGATCATCATGTTCTATATCTCAGATCATCATGTTCTATATCAGATCATCATGTTCTATATCTCAGATCATCATGTTATATATCAGATCATCATGTTCTATATCTCAGATCATCATGTTCTATATCAGATCATCATGTTCTATATCTCAGATCATCATGTTCTATATATCAGATCAGATACTGGTTTGTAAAGGTAGTGGTGACATTTATTTTATCATTGGTTATACACATTTGATGTATATTCTGTGTACTGTATACTGTGTTATATTCTGTGTACTGTATACTGTGTTATATTCTGTGTACTGTGTTATATTCTGTGTACTGTATACTGTGTTATATTCTGTGTACTGTGTTATATACTGTGTTATATGTTATATTCTGTACTGTATACTGTGTTATATTCTGTGTACTGTACTGTGTTATATTCTGTGTTATATTATACTGTGTTATATTCTGTGTACTGTATACTGTGTTATATTCTGTATACTGTGTGTACTGTATACTGTGTTATATTCTGTGTACTGTACTGTGTTATATACTGTGTTATATTCTGTGTACTGTATACTGTGTTATATTCTGTGTACTGTGTTATATTCTGTGTACTGTATACTGTGTTATATTCTGTGTACTGTGTTATATTCTGTGTACTGTATACTGTGTTATATTCTGTATACTGTGTTATATTCTGTGTACTGTATACTGTGTTATATTCTGTGTACTGTATACTGTGTTATATTCTGTGTACTGTATACTGTGTTATATTCTGTGTACTGTATACTGTGTTATATTCTGTTTACTGTATACTGTGTTATATTCTGTGTACTGTATACTGTGTTATATTCTGTGTACTGTATACTGTGTTATATTCTGTGTACTGTATACTGTGTTATATTCTGTGTACTGTATACTGTGTTATATTCTGTGTACTGTATACTGTGTTATATTCTGTGTACTGTATACTGTGTTATATTCTGTGTACTGTATACTGTGTTATATTCTGTGTACTGTATACTGTGTTATAATCTTTTACAGCTATATCCAGAATGGCAAGTGTGTTCTCACTTGTGAGAAGGGATACTTGCCACATGTTCTACAGATCGCTAACCACCGCGAATGTCGCAAATGTAATCGGGGTAAGTATTTACACATGTATTCTAATTACTGGGAATGTCAAAGTTGTAACCAAGGTAACCAGTCACACGTATCCATGGGTGACATTAAAAATATTGAGAAAATTGTGGATTTTAGATAGAAAGTACACTGATTAGAAGTTATGAGAAAGATGGATTTTTAAGGTTAGGTTTGGTTATGGTGATGATTATGTGTTCCTAGAAATGATACCTTTTTGTAATCATTTGTGTTGTAGGAGTGTGTAACAGCTGTGCCAATGGCTTCAGGATGTCCAACAGTGTTTGTTTCCAGGAGAATGCCTGTAGTACAGACAATTTTTATGACTGGGCTGCTATGGTAGGTACATGTGGTTAAACTTGATGACTCTGGTGATATACAGATAAAATATGAAGCTCTTATGTCTATATGTTGCCCCTATATTGACTGATGTTTGGAGTAACATATGTAGTATTCACCTTGTATATATACCAGTCAGTCCGTCTGTCCAGTTTAAGAAGCATGTCTCAGTCACTGTTTCATGTATAGATACAGAATTTGTGAAACAGGTAAAGCATCTGATGGCAGTGTGTCTTGTACTGAAAGGATGTCTTTGTGACTTTTTTTGACCTTTGACATACACTGTAAATATGGAAGAAAGCAAATTCAGTTTTCCAAAGCATATCGCTGTCACTGGAAAATTTGTCCTCTATCAAACTTCTACTTGACCTTTGACCTTGACCTTCAATTCTACAAGATTACAGCATGATACATTTTTCGAGGGCCTATCTCCGGTATGGTTTCATGTATAGGCTTTGTGTGAGTACACCATATGGAAGAACAATAGCTGGATCTGAACACAGGAACATTTGCTACAAGTTAAATCTATTGGTTTTTCAGATTATAGATTTTTATTGAATGTAATGACTACTCGCCTAAAGTGAAACTACCCTATACAGAGTAGTAGTATATTTATGTCTTTACTTGTCTTTCCAGTCATGTAAAGCATGTCACAAGAACTGCAACACATGTCACGGACCCGAGGCGACCGACTGTAACTCATGTCGAAGCCCACTGATGTTCCACCCCTACCTGCAGGCTTGCCTAGCCTGTTGTGTGGACCCAAACCAGGACACGACTAGCTGCTGTAAATGTGATATCAACAGAGGTACATATTCTCTTGTTCTAATTACTACCACTGGTCCCCAAGCCTCATCATGATGGTGGCTGTAGTTCTAGACTGGTCATAACTGTTTACATATCATTGTTATAGTTCTCTGTTAATGTAGATATCATTGTTATAGTTCTCTGTTAATGTAGATATCATTGTTATAGTTCTCAATGTGATTAATGTTATCATTGTTATAGTTTCTAATGTAGATAATGTAGATATCATTGTGGTAGTTCTCTGTTAATGTAGATATCATTGTGGTAGTTCTCCACTGTTGTAAATCTCCATTGTTATAGTTCTCTGTTAATGTAGATATCATTGTTATAGTTCTCTGTTAATGTAGATATCATTGTTATAGTTCTCTGTTAATGTAGATATCATTGTGGTAGTTCTCTGTTGATGTAGATATCATTGTGGTAGTTCTCTGTTAATGTAGATATCATTGTTATAGTTCTCTGTTAATGTAGATATCATTGTTATAGTTCTCTGTTAATGTAGATATCATTGTTATAGTTCTCTGTTAATGTAGATATCATTGTTATAGTTCTCTGTTAATGTAGATATCATTGTGGTAGTTCTCCACTGTTGTAAATCTCCATTGTTATAGTTCTCTGTTAATGTAGATATCATTGTGGTAGTTAGATATCATTGTTATAGTTCTCTGTTATAGTTCTCTGTTAATGTAGATATCATTGTTATAGTTCTCTCTGTTAATGTAGATATCATTGTGGTAGTTCTCTGTTAATGTAGATATCATTGTTATAGTTCTCTGTTGTGTAGATATCATTGTATAGTTCTCTGTTGATGTAGATATCATTGTTGTAGTTCTCTGTTAATGTAGATATCATTGTTATAGTTCTCTGTTGATGTAGATATCATTGTTATAGTTCTCTGTTGATGTAGATATCATTGTTATAGTTCTCTGTTAATGTCATTGTGGTAGTTCTCTGTTAATGTAGATATCATTGTGGTAGTTCTCTGTTAATGTAGATATCATTGTTATAGTTCTCTGTTAATGTAGATATCATTGTGGTAGTTCTCTGTTAATGTAGATATCATTGTTATAGTTCTCTGTTAATGTAGATATCATTGTTATAGTTCTCTGTTAATGTAGATATCATTGTTATAGTTCTCTGTTAATGTAGATATCATTGTTATAGTTCTCTGTTAATGTAGATATCATTGTTATAGTTCTCTGTTAATGTAGATATCATTGTGGTAGTTCTCTGTTAATGTAGATATCATTGTTATAGTTCTCTGTTAATGTAGATATCATTGTTATAGTTCTCTGTTAATGTAGATATCATTGTGGTAGTTCTCTGTTAATGTAGATATCATTGTTATAGTTCTCTGTTAATGTAGATATCATTGTTAGTTCTCTGTTAATGTAGATATCATTGTTCTCTGTTAATGTAGATATCATTGTTATAGTTCTCTGTTAATGTAGATATCATTGTTATAGTTCTCTGTTAATGTATATCTCATTGTTATAGTTCTCTGTTAATGTAGATATCATTGTTATAGTTCTCTGTTAATGTAGATATCATTGTTATAGTTCTCTGTTAATGTAGATATCATTGTTATAGTTCTCTGTTAATGTAGATATCATTGTTATAGTTCTCTGTTAATGTAGATATCATTGTTATAGTTCTCTGTTAATGTAGATATCATTGTGGTATTGTAGATATCATTGTTATAGTTCTCTGTTAATGTAGATATCATTGTTATAGTTCTTGTGTAGATATCATTGTTATAGTTCTCTGTTAATGTAGATATCATTGTTATAGTTCTCTGTGTAATGTATTGTTATAGTTCTCATTGTTATAGTTCTCTGTTAATGTAGATATCATTGTGGTAGTTTCTCTGTTAATGTAGATATCATTGTTATAGTTCTCTGTTAATGTAGATATCATTGTTATAGTTCTCTGTTAATGTAGATATCATTGTTATAGTTCTCTGTTGATGTAGATATCATTGTTATAGTTCTCTGTTAATGTAGATATCATTGTTATGTTCTCTGTAATGTAGATATCATTGTGGTAGTTCTCTGTTAATGTAGATATCATTGTTATAGTTCTCTATTAATGTAGATATCATTGTTATAGTTCTCTGTTAATGTAGATATCATTGTTATAGTTCTCTGTTAATGTAGATATCATTGTTATAGTTCTCTGTTAATGTAGATATCATTGTTATAGTTCTCTGTTAATGTAGATATCATTGTTTGTTCTCTGTTAATGTAGATATCATTGTTAGTTCTGTTAATGTAGATATCATTGTTATAGTTCTCTGTTAATGTAGATATTAGATATCATTGTAGATATAGTAGTTCTCTGTTAATGTAGATATCATTGTTAGTTCTCTGTTAATGTAGATATCATTGTTATAGTTCTCTGTTAATGTAGATATTATAGTTCTCTGTTAATGTAGATATCATTGTTATAGTTCTCTGTTAATGTAGATATCATTGTGGTAGTTCTCTGTTAATGTAGATATCATTGTTATAGTTCTCATTGTTATAGTTCTCTGTAGATATCATTGTTATAGTTCTCTGTTAATGTAGATATCATTGTTATAGTTCTCTGTTAATGTAGATATCATTGTTATAGTTCTCTGTTAATGTAGATATCATTGTTATAGTTCTCTGTTAATGTAGATATCATTGTTATAGTTCTCTGTTAATGTAGATATCATTGTGGTAGTTCTCTGTTAATGTAGATATCATTGTGGTAGTTCTCTGTTAATGTAGATATCATTGTTATAGTTCTCTGTTAATGTAGATATAGTTCTCTGTTAATGTAGATATCATTGTTATAGTTCTCTGTTAATGTAGATATCATTGTTAGTTCTCTGTTAATGTAGATATCATTGTTATAGTTCTCTGTTAATGTAGATATCATTGTTATAGTTCTCAGTTAATGTAGATATAAATTGTTATAGTTCTCTGTTAATGTAGATATCTGTTCTCTGTTAATGTAGATATCATTGTTATAGTTCTCCAATGTAGATATCATGTAGTTCTCTGTTAATGTAGATCTCATTGTTAAGTTCTCTGTTAATGTAGATATCATTGTTTAGTTCTCATTTGTTGTTAATGTTAGCTTTCCATTGTCATAGTTTTCATTTGTTGTAAAATTCTCATGTTGTAGGTTTCCGTTGTTGGTTTCCATTGTTGTAGATTTCCATTGTTGTAGGTTTCATTGTTGTAGATTTCCATTGTTGTAGATTTCCATTGTTGTAGGTTTCATTGTTGTAGATTTCCATTGTTGTAGGTTTCCATTGTTGTAGATTTCCATTGTTGTAGATTTCCATGTTGTAGATTTCCATTGTTGTAGGTTTGCCATGTTGTAGATTTCCATGTTGTAGATTTCCATTGTTGTAGATTTCCATTGTTGTAGGCTTCCATTGTTGTAGATTTCCATGTTGTAGGTTTCATTGTTGTAGATTTCCATTGTATTGTTGTAGGTTTCCATTGTTGTAGATTTCCATTGTTGTAGGTTTCCATTGTTGTATTTCTCATTTATTGTAGGTTTCCATTGTTGTACTTCTCATTTGTTGTAGATTTCCATTGTTGTAGATTTCCATTGTTGTATTTCTCATGTTGTAGGTTTCCATTGTTGTAGGTTTTCATTGTTGTAGGTTTCCATTGTTGTATTTCTCATTTGTTGTAGTTACTAGAATACAACTCCGCATTATTTCACTCTTGTGCTGAACTTTATAGGTCACTGATCTTAATTAAGGTCACTAATCTTCTAAAATTAAATGATGATTTGATAGTTTTCCCATTATATTTTGTAACATTGATAAAGAATTAATTGTGTATGACTGCAGAATGTTATTTATAGTTTTATGATATAAATCTGTACTTACTAATTTCAGGCAAATGCATTGTGGGCGCCTCTAAAAACAAGACAGGTGAGAACGGATTTGGGGACGCTACTGTCATACTGACTGTAGTGGTCGTGGTGATCGCACTCATCATTGTTCTTTTGGCTGCTGTTATCTTCTTTATGCTCAGAAACAATCAAACAACACTGAATAGAATCCAGGATGAAAAGTTATCATCAGTCAAATATGAAAGGCTAGCTCAAAATGACATTTAAAAGTTGTCATCTTAGTAGAAATAAGATCACCAGTGCCAGAAACACAACAGTAAATAGTATTTAAAAACAAATCTTTTACATTATCAAAGCTTTATATTTACAAATATTTCACATAAATCTGTGAAACAAAAACTATAGCTTGATACTAATTTTTTTTTATTTCTGTATTTGTCTAAGCTAGATTGATGGTCTAATGGACCCTAAGGATTAGAGAATTTTTTTACATATATGGAAGTACTAAGTTCTTTTAATGTATTTATGGTATTTTTTTTCATGATTCAGAAGTTGTGATATATAAAAAAAAGTATTATAGGAAACATTTTAAAGACATAGATTTTATTTATTTGTTATTCGCCTTGATGGTGTGTTGTCATGGCTACATGGCCCAGTAGTGCTTGGTTTGTGTACAAGTTTCATCCTGGTAACATAACCGCAATGTGCTTGGTTTGACTGTTTAACTGTGAACTATTAACATAACATTGTTCTTGTTTGTATATGTGTCCTCCCAGAATATGCATTTTCAAAATTCCATTGAAATTAACTGATATCAACTATAAATATGGAAGTTGAGCTCTTCATGGATATACATGAATTTATTTCATTCCTGTTCAACAGATTCCTTGATTGTTCTCAGTGTTTTAGAGATTTACTCTCTCCTGTCAGATTTCATCATGCATGGCAGGTTGTTCTATAGACTAGCAGAATTTACCTGGAACTTGGTTTGTCAATTAAATGTTTACAATGAATGCCATTAGTTCCAGTGTACAGTTATACACCATATGGGCAACACTAGCTGTAAGAGGCATATAATTAACAGTGGGACTCCCATGACCACAGTCATTGACTTTCAGGTGTTCAAGTGCTGCTATTAATATATCCAGGTGGGAGATGTGTAATTTTAGTGGTATTACTCAGTGAAATCTGTCTTGTCCACTACCTGTGTTATCAAAAAAATGATCTGTTATCCTCTCATGCTCTACAGTCGTCTTTTGAGGCAGATTTCACTGTAGATACTACAATGTTTTTAATATTGATTGTGTAAATGATTGAATAGAAATTATTATAACAGCCATTTCACAGACGTTGAAATGTGTGATGTACTTGATCTGATAGTAGATTGTGTAAATATGTGTACACACTTGCCTGTGTGCCTATATAGGCAGATTATTATGTTGTATGAAAAGATGTATTACAGCCTTGCGAACGTTTATGAAACAGGACACAGCTTGTGTGGTACATGCCTTACAGAGATAGCTTCAGACTGCGCACTTTACTTTCTCATTTGTATATATCTGAGCACACATCCTTCTCATAGCATTCGCATCAAAGGTATAGCTTTTTGACTGAGTGCATCTCCATGCACTCAATTGATTGAGGAGGGTTCTACACATTGGAAAGAAGAACCTCTCTGTCTGTTTGTTAACATTTATTCCAGGATGTTATCCAAACTTATTTTATGAATGACGACTTTATCTAGTCTGTAAGAAAAGCCGTTTATATGTGGACAGTGTGTTATACCGTATGTGTGTGCTACAGATGGACAGGATTGTTTGTGCATTGTTTATGGCGTGTGATTGGCTGTGTGGGTTAAAATGACCCGTTTCTATTTTGATGTTGTTTATTTTCACTCTACCACAGTTTTATGTGATGGAGATTTTCACACTGTTTAGTTGTTAACATATTATCATCAATCACAATTTCCCAGTTAGACCCGTTAACATAACACTGATATATTGTTGAAGTTGTTTGTTTCAGTAAGTGCCATGTTACTGATGTGTTGTGTGTCTAGATTTTAGAAAATTGTGCTAAGAGTTTCTTTTTAAACAGTTCATTACTGAAGAAATTTCAATAATACATTAACAAGAAAAATTTCTCATTCATGGAGACATAACATTTTTATTTGAATATATGTATATGTGTAAAAAAAAATTACCAGTTATAATTTATCCCTCTGTTGTGACAAGAGTGTTAAGAAACCATCACAAAGTCATATTATACTGATGAACAGGTCTAAACATCTTGTCTGCTGTGTTTGTTATTAGTGTGCCATTTTTTAATGTTCCATTTGTGATGTTTTTCACATATTTATATTGTTGTTAACGCTGGACACAGGATTTGGTGTACGTATGTGTGAACTCTGTAGACCTGTCACTGCCTGTGGACGTTTCTTTTCCAAGATATGTGACCACCATCATTTCCATGGCCTATGATACTTAGATATGCATTTTCTAGGATAAAGAATTTTTTGTTTTAATTGCGACATCAGGTTGCTGATGAGAGAATATTTGATCTTTACGTAAGAGTCTAAAATTGAGTGCTAGAGTCAAAGTTCAAGATATACTGTATCAGACAGGGTCATCCCTAATCTGCACCATAGAAGTTATTTCCAATACCTTCTCAAGATAGATTGGCATTGATGAATACAAGACGAAACAATGAATTATCAATAATTTAGTTCTTAATTCATTCCCATTCCTATCGAGATACACATGGAAAAGACCTCCAACACACCTGAGAGATCTACAGATTGGTGTCGGGTACAGGTAGTTTAGGTATATAAAACTTGTGGTAGTTATATGTGCCACCAAACAGTTCACATGATGGTGCTGAGATCTTGTACTACCAGATGACTGATTTGATGGTGCCAAGATTTTGTTTCTCTCCCCAACAGCTTGGATAAAGGAGCCAAGATCTTGAACTACCAAACAGCTGACTTGATAGTGCTAAGATCTGCTACCTAACAGTTAGCATGATGGTGTTGAGATCTTTTCTAGCCTAACCACTAGCTTGATAGTGTTGAGATCTTGTAGTATCTAACAACTGAGTTGATGGTGTTGAGATCTTGTACTATCAAACAGCTGAGTTGATAGTGTTGAGATCTTGTACTATCTAACAGCTGACTTGATGGTGTTGAGATCTTGTACTATCTAACAACTGGCTTGATGGTGCAGAGATCTTGTACTGTTTAACAGCTGGCTTGAAGGTGTTGAGATCTTGTATTATCTAACAGCTGGCTTGATAGTGTTGAGATCTTGTACTGTCTAACAGCTGACTTGATGGTGTTGAGATCTTGTACTATCTAACAGCTGGCTTGAAGGTGTTGAGATCTTGTATTATCTAACAGCTGGCTTGATAGTGTTGAGATCTTGTACTATCTAACAGCTGACTTGATGGTGTTGAGATCTTGTACTATCTAACAACTGGCTTGATGGTGCAGAGATCTTGTACTGTTTAACAGCTGGCTTGAAGGTGTTGAGATCTTGTATTATCTAACAGCTGGCTTGATAGTGTTGAGATCTTGTACTGTCTAACAGCTGACTTGATGGTGTTGAGATCTTGTACTATCTAACAGCTGACTTGATGGTGCTGAGATCTTGTACTGTTTAACAGCTGACTTGATGGTGTTGAGATCTTGTACTATCTAACAGCTGGCTTGATGGTGTTGAGATCTTGTACTGTTTAACAGCTGAGTTGATGGTGTTGAGATCTTGTACTACCTAACAGCTGGCTTGATGGTGTTGAGATCTTGTACAACCTAATAGCTGGCTTGATGGTGCTAAGATCTTGTACTGTCTAACAGCTGACTTGATAGTGCTGAGATCTTGTACTACCTAACAGCTGACTTGATGGTGCTGAGATCTTGTACTGTTTAACAGCTGACTTGATGGTGTTGAGATCTTGTACTATCTAACAGCTGGCTTGATGGTGTTGAGATCTTGTACTGTTTAACAGCTGAGTTGATGGTGTTGAGATCTTGTACTGTTTAACAGCTGAGTTGATGGTGCTGAGATCTTGTACTACCTAACAGCTGGCTTGATGGTGCTAAGATCTTGTACTGTCTAACAGCTGACTTGATAGTGCTGAGATCTTGTACTACCTAACAGCTGGCTTGATGGTGTTGAGATCTTGTACTACCTAACAGCTGGCTTGATGGTGTTGAGATCTTGTACTATCTAACAGCTGGCTTGATGGTGTTGAGATCTTGTACTGTTTAACAGCTGACTTGATGGTGTTGAGATCTTATACTGTTTAACAGTTAGCTTGATGGTGTTGAGATCTTGTACTATCTAACAGCTGGCTTGATGGTGTTGAGATCTTGTACTGTTTAACAGCTGACTTGATGGTGTTGAGATCTTATACTTTTTAACAGTTAGCTTGATGGTGCTGAGATCTTGTACTATCTAACAGCTGACTTGATGGTGCTGAGATCTTGTACTGTTTAACAGCTGGCTTGATGGTGTTGAGATCTTGTACTATCTAACAGCTGGCTTGATGGTGTTGAGATCTTGTACTGTTTAACAGCTGAGTTGATGGTGTTGAGATCTTGTACTGTTTAACAGCTGAGTTGTTGGTGCTGAGATCTTGTACTACCTAACAGCTGGCTTGATGGTGCTAAGATCTTGTACTGTCTAACAGCTGACTTGATAGTGCTGAGATCTTGTACTACCTAACAGCTGGCTTGATGGTGTTGAGATCTTGTACTACCTAACAGCTGACTTGATGGTGTTGAGATCTTGTACTATCTAACAGCTGGCTTGATGGTGTTGAGATCTTGTACTGTTTAACAGCTGACTTGATGGTGTTGAGATCTTATACTGTTTAACAGTTAGCTTGATGGTGTTGAGATCTTGTACTATCTAACAGCTGGCTTGATGGTGTTGAGATCTTGTACTGTTTAACAGCTGACTTGATGGTGTTGAGATCTTATACTGTTTAACAGTTAGCTTGATGGTGCTGAGATCTTGTACTATCTAACAGCTGGCTTGATGGTGTTGAGATCTTGTACTGTTTAACAGCTGACTTGATGGTGTTGAGATCTTATACTGTTTAACAGTTAGCTTGATTTTGTTGAGATCTTGTACTATCTAACAGCTGGCTTGATGGTGTTGAGATCTTGTACTATCTAACAGCTAGCTTGATGGTGTTGAGATCTTGTACTGTTTAACAGCTGACTTGATGGTGTTGAGATCTTATACTGTTTAACAGTTAGCTTGATTTTGTTGAGATCTTGTACTATCTAACAGCTGGCTTGATGGTGTTGAGATCTTGTACTGTTTAACAGCTGACTTGATGGTGTTGAGATCTTATACTGTTTAACAGTTAGCTTGATGGTGCTGAGATCTTGTACTATCTAACAGCTGGCTTGATGGTGTTGAGATCTTGTAATACCTGACAGCTGACTTGATGGTGTTGAGATCTTATACTGTTTAACAGTTAGCTTGATGGTGTTGAGATCTTGTACTGTTTAACAGCTGACTTGATGGTGTTGAGATCTTATACTGTTTAACAGTTAGCTTGATGGTGCTGAGATCTTGTACTATCTAACAGCTGGCTTGATGGTGTTGAGATCTTGTAATACCTGACAGCTGACTTGGTGGTGTTGAGATCTTATACTGTTTAACAGTTAGCTTGATGGTGTTGAGATCTTGTACTATCTAACAGCTGGCTTGATGGTGTTGAGATCTTGTACTGTTTAACAGTTAGCTTGATGGTGCTGAGATCTTGTACTATCTAACAGCTGACTTGATGGTGTTGAGATCTTATACTGTTTAACAGCTGGCTTGATGGTGTTGAGATCTTGTACTATCTAACAACTGGCTTGATGATGATGAGATCTTGTACTATCTAACAGCTGGCTTGATGGTGTTGAGATCTTGTACTATCTAACAACTGGCTTGATGATGATGAGATCTTGTACTATCTAACAGCTGGCTTGATGGTGTTGAGATCTTGTACTATCTAACAACTGGCTTGATGATGATGAGATATTGTACTATCTAACAGCTGGCTTGATGGTGTTGAGATCTTGTACTGTTTAACAGCTGGCTTGATGGTGTTGAGATCTTGTACTGTTTAACAGTTAGCTTGATGGTGTTGAGATCTTGTAATACCTGACAGTTGACTTTATGGTACTTAGGTCTAAGATGTAGTCCAAATTAATCTGACATACATTTGGTTGTTTTGATATCAGTCTAGAGTTTACGCCAGACCAATATTAGATAAATGATGATAGAATGTCAGAATGATTTAGATATGTTTGGTTGTGGTAGTAGAAGGGATTTGGTTTTACTGTGACTTTCTTCATTAGATAGTAAATGGCCTGTGCCTTTTGATGTATTACCTCTGAAACATGTCAGTACCAACATCATAACGCAGTAGTTAGAACCTGCTTAATACATTCTCATGGACAGTATTTTAAAATTTACATGTGGTGTAGTAGCTTTAATAAATTTTTCCTGTTTTCTTTTCAGCCCAAGTTCACACCATTTTACACTGACAATAAATTTAGTGTGGTGGGAAACTCTTTCAAACTTAAATGGCTATAAGGTAGCAATGTATACATACGTTGGCCATAATCATTGGTTATGATTAATCCTTTCTGTTCACTTAAATACTTAGAGGATATCGTGATAGTATCAGAAGTATACAAGAAGAATGACCCAATCCCTGAACTTTAAAGCTCCAACAAAGATCTGCTGAAGCAGAGGAAATGATGTGAAGCTGGTAATGTTAGATCTTCATTATTCCTGTCATCCTTTCAATGAACTTTATTTTATCAGAACATCAGGAAATGACTTCCTAGGCTTTGGGGCCAGGTTCTCAAATATGACAGGTGTTTTTCTAAAATGAGTTATTGAAAGTTGTAGGTATATAAAAATTGTATATGCAGTTTTGATCATGAACACTTCTCCTTGTTAATTACAGAGAGGAAAAATTGGCTGGTCCAATGGCTCAACTCCAATACTGGGTGAGCAAAAACAGAATCTGAGTTTGTATTGTTTCGTTCTGCAAATGTGGGATCTTTCACCGTATAACCATGCAGTGCATCAATGTGTTATTCATAGTGGTACATAAGTAGTCATCCCAGGTTTATGAAACCTGAGGTTGCATTGACCTCTGACCCTTTCATTTCAATATGACAGGGTGAAAGATCTGTGCTTGACATGACCTTTGACCCTTTCATTTGAAGATAAATGGATACAGTAGCTTGACCTTATGGCATGCTTATATACCAAGACAATGAAAGGGTTATAGGTTATTTGGTGCATGAATATGGTTGCTGGTGCAACCAAGAAGTGGGCAATCAAGTACTAAGGTTTAATAATCATTGTTTACATCATGTGGGTTACTGAGATCATCATTAAAATGTTATTGGCAAAATCGTTAAATAAGTACATGATTCACTATAAATATCAGAAATTGAGATTTTCTCAAAATAATCAAATTTGCAGAAAAAAAGATGAAAGCTTATATATTTGCATGGCATTAATGAAGTGAAGAATGGAAGACAAACAAAAGACTACTTTTAAGTGTATGAAAGATCTTTGTTCAGGGTTTGCTAATCTTTCAATATACTTGTGATTTTATAAAAGATTTAAACATTCAATAAATTCTAATAGATTGCTGTTTCCTTTGTTTGCATGGGTTTGTTAATTGACGGTTGAGCTGTTGTAGTTGGATACTAACATAATTATACCTAAGTAACATAACCCCTGTTCAGTAGTATGCCAAGCTTCTAGAAAACTAGAAAGAATTGGCCATTTTGATCTCTTTCATATAAAAGTTTGTATTCCATGTCAATCACATGCTTTAATCTATAGCCATGATGTTGCTGTGTTGAGTTACGTCATTTTCTTGTACTGAACTGTCTGAACAAATCAGATGAAAAACAGAAGCAATTTTCTGTAAGATAACTGCAAATCTACGTGAAAAATGAAGGCAAAAAAACAAAAAGTTTTTGATCTCTTCAATTATCACAACTCTCACTGCATATTTAGCTTCAATTCAAGTTTTGTTATCAATGATATCAATGCTGACATCTCAGATGTTATAGAATGCAGGATATTCATGTGTATAAACATTGATCATTGCCTATCAGAAATCCTTTGTTGTTTTGTGTGGAGATGTTACTGGATTGTGTCTCCTGATGTGTCCTTATTAAAACTCTATATATTGAAGAGTTCAGTTTCACCGTCCTACTGACAGGGTATGGTTGGTGTATTGTATGTGTCGAGACCCATTCACTGTGATATGTAATAGCATGATACACTGACACAGCCCAAAGAATATTAACGTCGGATTTTCAATTGACTATAAGAGAGATTACCTCCCTTGGATATGGAGCTCCAGTCATTGTCCTTGCACAGTGTTAACATAACATTCAGACAGCAGGACTAACATATCTGCCACTATTAACCTTGATGTTGGCATTATCTGTGGACTCTCTAAATTCTGAAATTTGTGCAAATTTTTTTTTTGAAGAAAATGGCTTTTAAACCCCAAATTTCGCAAACTTTACATAACCTATGTTAATTTGATGGGGATTTGTCAGAACTTTTCCAATTTCAAAAAATAAAAGTGCTCAAATAACCTTGACAAAGAATGCAAGAAAAATTGTGTTACTATTTACATGGCATATCGAAAGCCCAGAAAACATATTAGACATTGTAAAATGAAATTTTACTCTAACAGGCATTTTGTATTATACCTAATCCTCCTAGTGCAAATTATTGTAAACTGCATTGTCTTTGTCTCACAAAATGCCATGTATTCTGCATGAGAAATTTAGCAGAATAAAAAAAAATAGAAATATGTAAGAAAAAATCATGTTTAAGCTTACAGTGTAGTCAAATATCGTTTTATGATGAGAGATTTTGAAGTATTCAGTTTTATCTATTTTTTTTTATCTGTTCTGAATATTCTGAAGAAATTTGTATGAACTTAATTGTGTGCATATGCAAATAGTGTCAGAAGTTTTAAGAAATTGAAAAAAATGATTCACCAATTGATGTCTATGTCAATATTGTATTTATGATGATTCTGTGCTGGAATTATTTTCATGCTGCAGTTTTGTTTAAAATGTCAAATGATCAAATCAAATTACTTCTAAGTCTTAGATATTTGTAGGTGTCATTTGTCCTTGACCTATTACCAATGCTATAAATAGACTTCATCATTACCATGGTTACAGGAGGATTATAATTAGCATTTGCGGTATCTAAAATATAGTTCTCCATGGAGACTTTTGAGGATATTTTCCCTGTGCTCCATCCTTAGTCATTCTTGTTTTGACAAATATGCAGTTTAGCATCATACTTACTGACCATTTTGAATTTTTTTTTAAATATTTAAAATTTAGGCTTCAGAAAAATACATATTCATTCCTTCTTCTCACAAACTAAAATCATAAAAACAACAAATCTTAAGTTGTTGTTTCAGGTGGACAAATTGAATTTTTGACATTAGAAACAGTTTGGAAGATTTAAACAAAAATTGGTTATTAAACATTTAAAATTGATCCTGAAAATCTGGAATCTTTCTTCGTAATAGGGAGTGTTGGTAAGTATGATGTATATCTATACCAATACAGGGGAAAATGAAAAATAATCATGGGTATATTGGTGTTTATCTGTCTACCAATCAGGACATTAACACTGACCAAATATCAACATTATCTAGTCTACATACCGAGTCACTTTGTTGCTGTCCTTTCACGGACTCACTTTCACTCGCATTTATTCTTCAATTAAAATTTAGCCATTTCACTTATATTTAAAGTAAACAGTCTCATTGATTACTTTTTAATGATGAGAACTGAATCATTTTGATTGCAGTCGACAGTAAAATTTACTTACCTTGATAAATGTACTTACATAAAAATGAGTCATTTATGTTGTTCTTCCTTGCAAGACTGAATCACTTGAAGATTTTTGAATTTGAATGTATTCCAGATGAAACATTATTTGTATTAAAGTTTAGTTCCAATTGGTGATACATCACAAAGTGTGTGCTGTGTAGACTGCCTCACATTGACTCACCTTTATAAGAATCCAGTTTTGAAGTTTCAGATAGCACCTTTGATATTCATGATATTCTGTGTTATTTTTAAAATTTTTAACTTAAAAACAGGTTTGAGCCTGTATATGATTTTACTTAATCAGACAGCATTGTGCATATCATTGTAGTTTTTGTGATAGTCATTTTGGGGAGTTAGTGGATATATTGATTGTATTTTCAAACATGCATGTAACTTCATTACAAACTTTATAAATATTTACATGTTAGTCATCTTATGTTCCTGTTATTGCCTAATCAGAGCTTTTACATATAATGGTGAGCTTCAAATCCATCTTTTTTCAAATTACTTTTAATATGTATACTAGATTCAGAGATACAAATTAATAGAACTGAATTATTAGAAGAGATCTGCTCAGCCAGATTTTGAGAAAGTTGTATGAGTCGAGTTGTTAAGCATTCATATGTGAAGTCACCCATGGACAAACCACGGTCCATTTCAACTTATCATCCTTCCGTTTGAGAGTAGATTTGAAATTGTATGTGAGCGAAGAAGTATCTGACTGAGGTAGTGTGTAATTACTTATCACATCTGTGAAAACTGTCCTCATGGACACCATAGAAACTGTTCGAAATTAATTCTTGATGAGAGAGACTGTTTTCTCAAAACACACGGTAGAAGTTCATTAAAAGTTTGTAAAATAGTGAGTGTTAAATTCAGGGGTACTGATTTAGGGGCTACAACTCCAGCATGGAAAGATTGATGAAACTAAGCTCTGTCAATCATAGGTATCGATGAATTTCTGTATTAAAGTTCTTCAACCATGATGGTTCATTAAAAAAAGTGGAAAGAAACGCTTTCATATCAAAAGGAAATAAATCTGACCACAGCTGTTCCCCTCAGAAATATGTTTGGATCACATCAATAAAACAGCAGATGGAACAAAAGTAGAATCAGTACTTTCTAATGATCCATTTTCTCATGTTAAGATATATCTCTTACAGTTAATTTTTATTCTCGTTTATTTTCTAATGGTTTCCATGTCATTCTTTGTGTGATTGGTGTATGGAAGTCATATTAAGGTAATTTTAATTGGCGTCTGTGATCTTACAAAGAAGGTCTGGTGTTTTTTTTTTTTTTATATTTAATTTTACATGTATTTTGATGTGTCTATATATCATATAATGATTGTATAATATGAATGGTCATTACAATATTTTCACAAAATCACGTGTAGAGACAACACAATGATGAAATATCAGATGGGAAATTGTTGAACAGTTTTAATCGATTTTATTGGAGTCATTTTTCTGATGAGAAAAAATATTGTAGAAAATATATTTTTGCAATATCACTGTAATCACATGTATTATGTAATATTTATGTACCATGGAAATGAATAATATTATTGTTTGCACAAAATATGGTGTTTGCTTGTTTGTTAGAATCTGAGTTTCACGAAAACAGAGCTTTATAGCATTTTCACGGAGAAATATTCAGATATTGAAGACAAAGTGAAGAATACAAAAGACATACGCAGTTCAAACTACAAAAGAAGTGAGGTATTCTTCACATCGACTTGCGCAGTTGAATTGAAGTAAAGTTTCATATCGGGATTGATCTTGGTGACGTTTTAAATAATTTGTCTAGTGAAGTACAAACTCCAGTCACACCAATGACATTTAGGCATTAAAAGTATCTGCTATTTAACTCCTTTTATTGTGACCTTCAACTTGAAGCAGTTTCTTGTATTGAGTATATAACCACAGAAACAAAAATATCTAAAATTAAGAAGAAAAACCTGAGTGTTAAGAGTGACAAAAATTCCTCTCATTATCATTATGGGCATTTTGGGTCTCCTGAGACAAAAATCTCACAACGAGAGATTGATTGCCTTTTGTCATGCATTGTGTTCCATTAAAATTTGTAAGCATTTTCAACTTTTTCTGGAATACTCCATTACCAGTTCAATACAATTTTGCAGAAATCTTCCAATGCCAAAGGTGAACCAAAACTATAAATCATATGACCCCCATCCCGAGGGGCATGTGGGGCAGGTCAAAAAGGGTTCAAATAGATTGAAATTTCAAAAATCTTCTCTATATCTAAGTATGGTAAAAGCAAACACTTTTCATGGATGGAAGCATCTTAGGTGCTTTACCAAAATTATAATAGGAAAATTGCATTTTTGAGCATAATTTCAATTTGGTTAGAATTATTATTTCATGCTGTCATTTTGATGATAAAGCACAAATTGACTATGGCTGACCCCCAAGGACTGAAGGATGGGGCCAAAAAGAGTAAAGTTGACTGAAATTTCCAAAACTCTTCCCAATATGCAAATATGGTAGAATAAAATACTTTTCATGAATGGAAGAGTTTATATAGGAAAAGTACATCATAAGTGTAATTTGTTTTAATTCAAACATTGTTTAATGTTTTACAGTTTACACTTACACTGTACATTGTATGTACACTGTAATGTTAGTACGAGTTATCTTACTTTGCTTAAAAGTTTCTATGACATGTTCCAAGAATGAGAACATTGTAACCTGGACTGTTAATGCCCTTTGGGCCTCTTGTTAAGAAGTGTATTCATTTTTCACTTTTTCAAGTATTTGTTGACTAAGGCTGACAGCCAAAATTAATTCCTAACAGACGCAGTACCAATGACACAACATGTGAAATTACAGTTCATCATTACCATTCAACAATGAGAAAATAAAGGTTAATTGAAAATTTTGAGAGAAAGGACCATTACTCTGAACAATGTAAGCAGGCCAGACCATGATGTGGCCTTATCTACCACAATACCTGTATACATTGTATAGCAGTTCAATATCCCCATCCAGCTCTAAGAAAATGAATGGGAACTGGTAACTTCTTAAAACAGGTTCCAGGGCCATTTCCCTAAAGAATACATAGTTAACAACTGTGCCACCACTCCTGGGTAGCTAGGTAACACCTCAGCCCTTCATCAGGGTTCAATTCCTGCAACGAACATAAAAAGTCACCTACCGGACCACATGGGTTTTCACCGGATTCTCAGGTTCCCTACACAGTAAGACCCCTTACACACTTCGCCAGGCCAATAAGAGTGATAAATATAAACCAGAAAAAAACATATTTAACAAATGTTGTAAAAAAAATATGTTTTGATTTAATATGCCAACCAGAATCACATATAAACCTGAATCTTAATACATAAAACAAGAAGCCTAATAGGTATGCATCAATCACCTGCTCAGTAGCTTGCATACACAAGATTAGCTGGAAAGTTTAAGAAATCTTCATACTGGCTCCATACTAAACACTGATCATTTGAGAAAGTTTCAAAGAAAAGAAATTTGATAGCCCTTCAACCTAGAAAGCTAGTCTTCGGTTATACATTCATCCAGAGACTTCAGGTCATTAATAAAATGACATTCAAAGATTTCAACGAATTTGATCTATATGACCTGGAAAGTGGGTCAAGTTTGTTCACTTCAAGAAAGTAATGGCACTTCATGCTAATTACCAAATATAGTATACTAACCATGGATGTTTGATTTCTGGAAATAAGAAGAGACCCAAGAGGGGTCTAGGCACCCAACATTGTTTATCTTCTTTGTTTTTTAGCATACCATCATTATGTGGTGGGTTATTGAAATCGCCTTTGTCTGTGGTCCTTAGTCCGTCCATAAACAATTTTATTATCGGTATTTCTTAATTAATCTTTCTCAAATCTTACATGTAGGTTCCCCTCGGTTCCTTGTTGTGCCCGTTTAATTTTAGGTCTGGTCAGAAAAACAAAATGGCCGAGAGGCGACCATCTTTGATTTTGACAAAGTTTGTTATCGCCGTTTCTTGAGAACAACAGAAAGGATCTTTCTTAAATTTCATATGTTTGATCCAATTGGTTCCTATTTGTGCTTGCTTGATTTTGGTACTGATCAGAAAAACGAATTGGCTGATATGCGGCAGTCTTGGATTTTGACAAGTAAAGTTTTCTTGAGAAGTACTTCCTGATTCGTTTCCGAATTTCATATGAAGATTCTTCATGGTCCCTAGTTGTGCCGGTTTGATATTTGGACTGATCAGATCGATAAGATGACCATCTTGGATTTTGACAAAGAAATCTTCTTATCGTCGTTTCTTGAAATACCACGGACTTGTATAGTCCGTGGAAATACTAAACAATTATAATTGGAGAGGAAATTTTCGCGATTTCCGTTACATATAACTTTGATATTCCAGTTGTACAATACATGTCAATCTTTGAATTATGATAGATTACGATAAAATAAAGCCACGACATTCTGAAAAAAAAATCTGTAGTGCGTTTCGTTCTACCATATATTCCGTAAAATGAACCCGGAAGCTATTGCAAGCTACTTCCGTTTTGGAGTCAACAATCAGTCGTGGAAGTAAACAGTCAAAACCCAAAATGAATGTAATACTTGCCGTGAAGCAGTATATCAGCAAGATGATTGATGAAAGTGGACCGGGAATGAAAGTCCTACTTATGGACAAAGAGACTGTAAGCATACTGCAGTAACGTAATACTGGTCTTTGTCCAGCCAACGTGTGAAACGTCAGACTGAGCAAATAATTCGGTTTTTACAGGATCCGTGAATGGATGTCAGTAATACTGTGTCCTCCCCGGCTAAATATATGAACTGTATACATGATCAGAAAAGAATGAAAGAAATCCATAGTTTCTATTCCAATCGATGCATTTTAAGTTAAAGGATATCATTCTAACAGAAAATAGCATACCTTGAATAATGTCGCATAGTCTGGATAATTGAATAAGCGTTACACATTGCCTTTATTTATAATTCATTGCTTCTCACATTGACCCTTTCCTTAATACTGCAAAAGGAGCGGGTCAGTGTGATTTGTATATAATGTTAAATACAGTCTTTGTCACTCAGCTTCTTTGGCTCAGTTGGTGGAGCCAGTTGAATATCACACCAGAGACCTAGGTTCAATTCATGGTAGGGGCACTTGACTGGAATGTATTTTCCCTGTTCTTTCACATTGGCACTTAACAGAATTCCAGGGGTTGTGGGATTTAGAATCTTGGGTTGCGATTTAGGTAATCTATAGAATAACAGGGGGAGTAATGAAAAAGGAGCATGTCAGTGTGGCTTGATTATCATGTTTAAATACAGTCTATGTCACTCAGTTGATCGATCAGGCATTTTTGGCACAGTTGGTAGAGCTGGTTAGTTATGCCAGAGACCAGGGCTTCATTCCTCAATGTTGCACTTGTGTACTGTCCCTGTTCTTTCACATTGATACCCAATAAAATCCCATGACCCACTGGTTGTGGTATTTAGAGTCTTGGCTTGAGATTTAGGGAGGGGTGGCTTGTATAAATAATGTTAAATACAGTCTCTTTTACTTAGCTGGCTGAGCATGCTTTTTTCGCTCAGTTGGTAGAGCAGATTGAGTATCATATGGGGCACTTGACAGGAATGTGTATTTTCCCAGTTTCGCCATACAAAAAATGATTGAAAACTGAAAATCTGAATGATCAAGTTGTGTCTGTAATCATAAACCAAGACTATATTATTTTATCACAATGGAGGCTCAATCTAGTGACTGGCCATTCTCTAGCCTGACATCTACATTCTACTGTGCTTCACTAAAGGGAAATTTCCCCTTAGTAAAACTAGAAAGTGACATTTACTGTCAAGTTTTACATACAAAATAATATTTTGCCTGTGGGTCCAGTATAGGAAGGGAGGTAACTCTTCTCAGTCTCTGTTACAAGCACATATATATGTATATGACTAGTACCTTGGTGACCTATCATGATCAGATTCACATTTTTTAAATACTCTACTTACTGTTTTATTTTTAGACCAGTATTGTGAGTATGGTGTATGCCCAGTCAGAAATTCTACAGAAGGAGGTATACCTATTTGAGAGGATAGACTCGTCCGCCAGAGAGACTATGAAACACCTCAAATGTATATGTTTCCTCAGACCAACACGTGACAATGTAGAACTCCTAGCACAAGAACTTAGACTGCCTAAATATGGCCTTTATTATATATGTAAGTTTGTGAATGTCGTTGGTTATTGCAAATGTATTCAGGCCTTCTTCTTAAAAAGACTTGAATTATGTAGATATATATATATATATACATGCATCAATAATACATTGCTCTGTTGAATTGTCTTCATTTTCATAATATAAATATTGTCGCATTGCAATAAAATACTATGCTTGTCTTCCAAAATAATGTTAAATCCATGATAATGAAAATGATGTTGAGTTAATTGTCACATATTTGTTGATAATTATAAGTGTGTGGTAATGGATTAATTCCATTCCTAGTACTTTTGTTATGGGATCACTCTTTAATATATCTTATAAGTAAATGTTATCTACTTGAGTCAATAATTTACTTAAATGCTCAGCTGACTTAGTAATTTACTGACACTTATTGTAACTTATGTTTATGATCACCAGATTTCAGCAATGTGATCAGTAAACAAGATGTCAAAGTGTTAGCAGAAGCAGACGATCAGGAAGTGGTACGAGAAGTTCAGGTGAGTACAGAAGCAGACGATCAGAAAGTGGTACAGTAAGTTCAGATGAGTACAGAAGCAGACGATCAGGAATTGGTACAAGAAGTTCAGGTGAGTACACAAGCTAACTATCAGGAATTGGTACAGTAAGTTCAGGTGAGTAGAGAAGCAGACGATCAGGAAGTGGTACAGTAAGTTCAGGTGAGTACAGGTGCAGACTATCAGGAAATGGTACAGTAAGTTCAGGTGAGTACAGAAACAGATGATCAGGAAGTGGTACAGTAAGTTCAGGTGAGTACAGAAACAGATGATTAGGAAGTGGTACGAGAAGTTCAGGTGAGTACAGGAGCAGACTATCAGGAAGTGGTACAAGAAGTTCAGGTGAGTACAGAAGCTGATGATTAGGAAGTGGTACGAGAAGTTCAGGTGAGTACAGGAGCAGACTATCAGGAAGTGGTACGAGAAGTTCAGGTGAGTACAGGTGCAGACTATCAGGAAGTGGTATGAGAAGTTCAGGTGAGTACAGAAGCAGACGATCAGGAATTGGTACAAGAAGTTCAGGTGAGTACAGGAGCAGACTATCAGGAAGTGGTACGAGAAGTTCAGGTGAGTACAGAAACAGATGATTAGGAAGTGGTACGAGAAGTTCAGGTGAGTACAGGAGCAGACTATCAGGAAGTGGTACGAGAAGTTCAGGTGAGTACAGGTGCAGACTATCAGGAAGTGGTATGAGAAGTTCAGGTGAGTACAGAAGCAGACGATCAGGAATTGGTACAAGAAGTTCAGGTGAGTACACAAGCTAACTATCAGGAATTGGTACAGTAAGTTCAGGTGAGTACAGAAGCAGATGATCAGGAAGTGGTACAGTAAGTTCAGGTGAGTACAGAAGCAGATGATTAGAAAGTGGTACAGTAAGTTCAGGTGAGTACAGAAGCAGACGATCAGGAATTGGTACAAGAAGTTCAGGTGAGTGCAGAAGCAGATGATTAGAAAGTGGTACAATAAGTTCAGGTGAGCACAGAAACAGATGATCAGGAAGTGGTATGAGAACTTCAGGTGAGTACAGAAGCAGACTATCAGGAAGTGGTACGAGAAGTTCAGGTGAGTACAGAGGTAAACAATAAGGAAGTTAAATGAGAAGTCTAAATGAATATATTTACCATGTTAAAAATAATCTATATTTATATCATCTGATTCAGACGAATTGATCCTGTAAGACTTCCTCACTGTGTTTTCATTCTTTTGTAGGAGTTCTTTGGTGATTTCATAGCAGTTAATCCCCACTTATTTACACTGAACATTCTAGGCTGTAGTCAGGTAAGGTATTTTGTGTTTTAAATTCCATGAAAATACAGTTTTAAAATAGTATGATTTATGAGTAATATTTGGAAACTTTCAATGGAAATTATGTTTATTTTTTTCATGTAAATTCTTTGTTACAAATGATGTATCATTAATTGTGTACAGTTCCAGTGTTTCTAACGATGATGTGGACTTACAGTTTTCATTATCCCATTGTTATGAATGATATTTTATACTTACAGGCCCTTAATTGGTCCCCTACAGCCTTAACTAGGACGACCCAAGGGTTGACTTCTGTGTTGTTGTCCCTAAAGAAATGTCCAATGATCCGTTACCAGAACTCTTCTGAAATGGCCCGCAGATTGGCAGAGAATATCAGAGTATGTAATCACTGTATAAGAGGCATGAGGGCCTTGGGACATTTTCAATTATTATTAAATAATTGAAAATATGTTCAGTATAGTTCATGTGCAAAATTAAGAACTGAGAAGGGGTGTTAACATATGGATCTTTATTTGTCCAAGCTGCAGTTTTAACAAGTATATGATGTGGTCATGGCATCCTTTAGACTAGACAGTTGATCTATCTCATTCTTCCCCGTAGTAAGGACCACTTCTTCAATGTACACCCCATTGTACGCAAGGTCAAAGTATAACTTAAATAGTATTGTAGAATTACTGTATATACCCCCATGTCTGGTAAAAGGCCCATCCACATTAGATAGTATTGTAGAATTACTGTATATACCCCCATGTCTGGTAAAAGGCCCATCCACATTAGATAGTATTGTAGAATTACTGTATATACCCCCATGTCTGGTAAAAGGCCCATCCACGTTAGATAGTATTGTAGAATTACTGTATATATCCCAATGTCTGGTAAAAGGCCCATCCACATTAGATAGTATTGTAGAATTACTGTATATACCCCCATGTCTGGTAAAAGGCTCATCCACGTTAGAAAGTATTGTAGAATTACTGTATATATCCCCATGTCTGGTAAAAGGCCCATCCACATTAGATAGTATTGTAGAATTACTGTATATATCCCAATGTCTGGTAAAAGGACCATCCACATGATCTCTAGCTGAGAGGTATATTGTGGTTTATGTGTACCAGGGTTAGAACCTATCGACATACACTTTGTACAGTCATCATTTTAATGTTTCTATTTTTAGAGTACTATCAGCAAGGAAGCAGCATTATTTGAGTTCAGGAAGACAGATGTTGCTCCAGTTTTACTGGTATTGGACAGACGTGATGATCCTGTCACCCCCTTACTGAATCAGGTATGCACATAATGTAAGACTGAACAGACTTGTCTGGTGTCTCCCCTAGCTTCCAGTAAGTGATAAGAACAGATTTTTGTACGGATTAAAACACATAAACAAGGAATATCAAATTATTTTCCTTCAACTTCACTGGAAGTCGGAGAAAGAACTTCTATCATAATACTTGGTATTGATCAAAGAAAGCAAAGTTTTTTTTAAATGAAAGAAAAAGTAAAAATTTGGAAAATCACAAAATATAAATTATATTTTCCAATTACAGTTAAAAAGTTTTTAAATTTGTGTTAAACCTGGCTATAATTTACTAGTATTCATGATGATTGATTAAAAATTTTAATTAATTCTGAAAACAGTTAGACAGTCAAATGATGAAATTATTTAATTATCAGTTGTAACGTTAATGAAGGTTGCTGTTGGATCATTGTAAACAGGTATAGATGTTGTACCTTGTTATGACTGATAATGTGGAAAGTGTTTTATATCATTTTATAACTGTTGCAGTGGACATACCAAGCTATGGTTCACGAGTTACTAGGTATCAACAATAATCGCATCAACCTATCACATATACCAGGCATCACTAAAGACCTACAGGAAGTTGTCCTCTCTGCTGAACATGATGAATTTTATGCAAATGTAAGTAATCAGAAGTTAGCAAATACAACAGAAATTTAAGTAGGAGTTTGTCATCTGTCGACTTCACCTGTCAACTGGGTGTTGTCGAACAGTCACTGGTAGAGTTTAGGAACCTACGGTTTTACCTGTTACAGAGTTTGATCAGACATGAGAAGGTCTGGGGTAAAGAAGAACAGACTATATGGAGAAGCCATATATGACTATGCTATAGAATTTGTTGATGTATTCTGCTTCTCTTTCACAATAGCCAACCCTACATGGTAACACACTCGCCTCGGCGTGGAAAGGTAGGGGGTCACCTGACCATGTGGGCTTTCCTTCCACAATGAGACTCCTCATGTGCTTCTGTCCGGACCAAAAGGAGTCATTGCTATAAGCTTGCAGATTGTTTCGCAATTGTTGTAAAATAAATAAAATTCATATGAATGCTACCATCCAAGCCGACATTAGTGATTCATGTAGCTAATGAAACTTGTCTCAGCATTGTGTGGAAACAAATGAAATTTCTGTATAATTTCTTGTTACATAAATTAAATAACAGTTTCAATTGCTGCTTTTTATAAACAAGTACAGGTAATGATTAATAGCTACTAGTGTTTACATAGCTTTCCTTTTTTCAGAATATGTACAATAATTTTGGAGAAATTGGAACAAATATCAAGGATTTGATGGAAGAATTCCAGAAAAAATCCAAAAGTCAGGCCAAGGTGGAATCCATAGCAGATATGAAGGTAAATGTTGCACTGGTACCATGTCAAAATTAGACCCCATTAAAACCAACATCTGGAATTTTAACAAAATAGTTGCTCGCAATATTGTTTATGAACCCCGCCCAAAGAAAATACGATATCAGACCAATGGTTTACTGCCCTGATAGGACGCTTAGTTTATTAAACTATTTTCACAAGCATAATTTCATGTAATTCGAATTTAATTGATTTTGTTCAAACTGTTTACAGTACATTGTTGATATCCACATACACATATACACATGCTTGTTTAATACAATTTTCCTATTTGAAGTTGATTCTACTTAAATCTATTTTAATGTTACAGGCCTTTATAGAGGCCTATCCTCAGTTTAAAAAGATGTCTGGTGCTGTAGCTAAACATGTGACAGTGGTGGGAGAGTTGTCCAGACTAGTCAGTAAAATCAATCTCCTGGAAGTGTCTGAAACTGAACAAGAGCTGGCATGTCAGGGAGACCATTCCGCCTGTTTGCAGGTAAGGTCAAAGGTCACAGGATAACTGAGACCACTTTATGTATACAAATATATATATATATATATGATAGAATCTAGTGAGTAATATCGACTGTATGGTCGAATATTGGTACTAGATCCTTACAAACAAATGTTCCTTGGATGCATATTACTGGGAAAGATATATGATCAATGAAGTTGAAGCAACAGTACGGACAAGCAAATTGTCAAATTTTCAAGGCAAACTGCCCCATTATCAAAACACAAATCTTACATAAATGACAAAGAACATAAAACAAATACAAAGTTATAAATCTAAATCAGGAGTAGTAGTGTAAATTTTGGTGATAATTCCTTCAACTGATGGACACCAAAGGCCCTCCCTACCAGACTGAAAATGAATCTCCGTATGTTTTGCACTCTAGACACTGAGCGTATATGTGAACACAACGAAAACAATTGCAAGTCACACTCCGAGGGAAGTAGTGTACCGATACATCTTGGCCACATTCTAAATGAGCAATTGTTTGATTAAAAATAAGTCGATAAGTACATAAGTCTATAATCAATGAATGCTCAAATTCACCATTTTTGCTAATTTGACATAAAATACAGTTGCACGAAAGATTGATTGCACCAAATTAAGTACCTTTACAGTATCATTTTATTTCAAAACTAACTTAGTAATTGATATTTAACCAACCATTCTGATATACCTGTCTTACAATTTTAATTAAAATTATTTGATTTTAACTATTTTAACTATTTAACTTTTCTTTTTGGATTTATTTATAGAAAATCAAGGGCCTACTAAGTGGAGACAAAACACCACAATTGGACATGCTGCGCCTGGTGATGCTGTATGCCCTGCGCTATGAGAGCCACAGTAATAATGATGTGTCAGGCTTAGTCGAAGGGCTTCGTAGGAAAGGTCTTAGTGAAAAACACAGAGCAGTATGTGGAGTATTAGACAGGTTTTCTTGTTAGGGAATAAGACAAAACAAAATACTCTAAATCACAGAGAATTAATTTGATTTGGCTCTTTCCTTGAAATACACATGGGATATCCAGTACTGTTTGTAAATTTGAAAACATGAAAACAGAAATTAAAAACTGTTTGAAAGATTTTAATTTTGAATGTATTTCATTTGTCTTGATAGGTACTTATTCGGCAATGAGAGGATGAAAATGTTAAGTCAGCTGTCAGATGCCTTTTCTTACTATATCAGTATTAAATTTTCATTGTTCACTAATATGTTATTGTTCTGACAGATGGTGCATGCAGTATTACAATACGGAGGGAGAAAGGCTCGTGGTAGTGATCTCTTTGGTAACCAGGACCCAGTTGCCATCACCAAGAGGTTCCTCAAGGGTTTGAAGGTATGGTTACTGTGAAACTCCAAAGAAATCAAAGCTGGATACAATATGTATAATCAAAAATTAAATCTATTTTTTCTTTTAGCTTTCCTTTGCAGAATATAACTTAATTCTTGAAAAAAGAAAAACATAAGGAATTAGGATTATATGGAAGTCACTAATATGTTCCTACTTTATTAAAGTATAATTTTCAATTATAATATGGTTATAATATTCATTAACTTTGCTTGTAAAAGAAATTGTCTGTTAGTGTGTAATCTTCTACAGTATATGTTATTGTTCTCCCCACATGTATCTGTTGTTACCTCCCACATATATATACATGATAGAGAATAGTCTGTAATCTTCTACAGTATATGTTATTGTTCTGTCCACATGTATCTGTTGTTACCTCCCACATATATACACATGATAGAGAATAGTCTGTAATCTTCTACAGTATATGTTATTGTTCTGTCCACATGTATCTGTTGTTACCTCCCACATATATACACATGATAGAGAATAGTCTGTAATCTTCTACAGTATATGTTATTGTTCTGTCCACATGTATCTGTTGTTACCTCCCACATATATACACATGATAGATTGTATTCTCCTTCTCTGATTTCCAAATAAGAAGTATTTTTTGGCTTGTGGAAGATTAAGGTCCTGGAAAAAAAAATCAGGTGAATTCACTAAGTATCTGTTTTAATTTCAGGGAGTTGAGAATGTTTACACCCAGCACAAACCCCTAATGTACAGTATCGTTGACCAACTTATTAAGGGCAAGCTGAAGGAAGGTGCCTATCCATATTTGGGCACAGGTCAATTAAGAGACAAGTACGTATATCAGCTCATTTGAGTCCAGATTTGATGGAAATGTGTTTGTATATTTCTATAATTTTTGATATGTTTAAAATCAGTTATGAATATGAATACTTCACCCAACCATAGATATCTGGACATTTATTCAGGTTCTGTTTTGTTTAACTATATTTTAACAAAATGTTCCGTTCTCTAGTGTTTGGATTTGGCAGAAAACAAGCTGATGGCTATGCTATTTATAGATGTCTGCCTTTATTTCAAGCCCCTTGTTATGTGGATGATGAAGTTTGTCAGCCCTATATTTTATACCAAAGGATACCATGATGTTAATGATGTCTTTATGTACCCTTTATTTCCAGCCCTTTGTGTTAGTGATAAAGATTGTCTGCCCTTTATTTCCAGCCTTGGTGTTAGTGATAAAGATTGTCTGCTCTTTATTTCCAGCCCTGGTGTTAGTGATAAAGATTATCTGCCCAATATTTCCAGCTTCTTGTGTTAGTGATAAAGATTGTCTGCCCTTTATTTCCAGCCCTTTGTGTAGGTGATAAAAAAAAATTGTCTGCCCTTTATTTCCAGCCCTGGTGTTAGTGATAAAGATTGTCTGCTTTTTATTTCCAGCCCTGGTGTTAGTGATAAAGATTGTCTGCTCTATATTTCCAGCTCCTTGTGTTAGTGATAAAGATTGTCTGCTCTTTATTTCCAGCCCTGGTGTTAGTGATAAAGATTGTCTGCCCTATATTTCCAGCTCCTTGTGTTAGTGATAAAGATTGTCTGCCCTTTATTTCCAGCCCTCTGTGTGGGTGATAAAGATTGTCTGCCCTATATTTCCAGCCCTTTGTGTGGGTGATAAAGATTGTCTGCCCTTTATTTCCAGCCCTTTGTGTGGGTGATAAAGATTGTCTGCCCTATATTTCCATCCCCTTGTGTAAGGGATAAAGATTGTCTGCCCTATATTTCCAGCCCTTTGTGTGGGTGATAAAGATTGTCTGCCATATATTTCCATCCCCTTGTGTAAGGGATGAAGATTGCCTGACCTTTATTTCCAGCCTCCTGTGTTGGTGATAAAGATTGTCTGCCCTTTTTCAGGCCCCAGGATATTGTGGTGTTTATGATTGGAGGTGCAACATATGAGGAGGCTCTGGCAGTCCACACTCTGAACAGATCAAGCCCCGGGGTGAGGATTGTTCTCGGAGGAACCACTGTTCACAACTTTAAAAGGTATTACAAAAACTAATGTCACAGTCGTGACGGCCAACAAGGAAAACATTTTGTGTCAGAGTTAGTAATCTGTACAGTATCTATGAATTACAATTTTGTGTGTCAGAAACAGCATTACTGTTCTGGACATAACACCCATCAAATGAGAAGAACCCTTCATCATTTTATCAAAAAGTCAAATGTCAAGGTCAGAAGAAAAATGTTTGAAAATTGTTTCAAAAATAAAAGCAGAGAGTAGTTCTAAGTAGACTTTATAAAGTCTACAGCTTCATCTTCCATGTAACAACTTCTGAAAAATGTAGAATTTATCAAAAATCATTATTCTTAATGCTATTGTTTCACAGTTTTTTAGATGAGGTAGCACAAGCAGTTGGAGGACAGCCATCTAGTCGGTCAGAGGGAAGGTCAAGACAGTGGTGAAAATTGATTAGTGATGTCACTAAACACAGCCTTTTTATTGATGGAAGGGAAAGTTGAAACAGTTGTGATGATAAAGTGATGACTTAAACACAAAGTGCTGTACAAAAATGATGTGGTTGTATTTCCTTAAGAAACAGAAACAGACACAGAAAGTTCCTACAAATATACTTCTGTATCTATTTTCCTGCCTGGGGATGGAAATGACTTATTCAAAATTATAAGGTTATATAAGATTGTGTAATTACAAAATTATAAGGATATGTAAGATTGTGTAATTACAAATGACTTGTTAATTTCTAATCAGTTATTAGAGAATGAAGATTTGCCCCTGATGTTGATAACCTCAACACACAGCTGTTTCTGTGATGGTTTTCCAGAAGCCTCTTTCATTGACCATGCTCAATATGGCTTCCATGTGTTATATTGCAGGTAAAGACATAAGTAAGTGTTGCTTAGGAAGATAGGTCTAAAAGTTGTTGAGTATGAACTTGGTGACATTGCAAACGTGAAATAATTGCCTGTTTACTTAACATATGGTAACTTTGTTGATTTTTATACACAGCATAGTTCCTATTATCAACACCTTAGGGATGTTAGTATGATTTAACAGAGATGTGTAAGATGACAAAATTCTATAGAGCTAACCACTGTCATGTTTAGGGGTATATGAAGGTTCTATAGAGCGTGACCACTGTCGTGTTTAGGGGTATATGAAGGTTCTATAGAGCGTGACCACTGTCGTGTTTCGGGGTATATGAAGGTTCTATAGAGCGTGACCACTGTCGTGTTTAGGGGTATATGAAGGTTCTACAGAGCATGACCACTATCATGTTTAGGGGTATATGAAGGTTCTCTAGAGCGTGACCACTGTCGTGTTTAGGGGTATATGAAGGTTCTATAGAGCATGACCACTATCATGTTTAGGGGTATATGAAGGTTCTACAGAGCATGACCACTATCATGTTTAGGGGTATATGAAGGTTCTCTAGAGCGTGACCACTGTCGTGTTTAGGGGTATATGAAGGTTCTCTAGAGCGTGACCACTGTCGTGTTTCGGGGTATATGAAGGTTCTATAGAGCGTGACCACTGTCATGTTTAGGGGTATATGAAGGTTCTACAGAGCATGACCACTATCATGTTTAGGGGTATATGAAGGTTCTCTAGAGCGTGACCACTGTCGTGTTTAGGGGTATATGAAGGTTCTATAGAGCATGTCCAATGTCATGTTTAGGGGTATATGAAGGTTCTCTAGAGTGTGACCACTGTCGTGTTTAGGGGTATATGAAGGTTCTATAGAGCGTGACCACTGTCGTGTTTCGGGGTATATGAAGGTTCTATAGAGCGTGACCACTGTCGTGTTTCGGGGTATATGAAGGTTCTATAGAGCATGACCACCGTCATGTTTAGGGGTATATGAAGATTCTTACAAGTGGTTCACAAATAAGCCCTCCCCTAACTAGAATACTAAGCTTTTACACTAGAGAAGGGAGCTTATTTGAGGATAAATATGGTAGATGGGTCCTTACAACTGCTGATGTTATTCATTGGAACATACATAGTCCATTAATCCTCTATATATATTTAATACAGCAAATTATTTATGAACTTTTACTTACATGTCTTTATAAAATATTTAATACAGAAAAGCATTCCTGCACAGTCCCATTGTGTTTATAACAATATCTAGAATAGAACATGGACAATGGTTACTGGTGACCAGGTTGGTCACTTTAATATCGTGGTCATCTAAAGGTCAGGTCAATGGTCATTAAATCTATCTTGTTACATTTGACTTGTTAAACCCACAGAAATCAGTTTAAATTCTCTTGGATCTGTGGTTTTGTGGATTGATGGTAGTGGAACTAACCTGGATCACTAGCAACTCGGTAGCTCGATTTGTTAGACTTACCTGGATCAATAGTGACTCGGTAGTCTGATTTGTTAGACTAACCTGGATCACTAGCGACTCGGTAGCCTGATTTGTTAGACTAACCTGGATCACTAGTGACTCAGTAGCCTGATGTGTTAGACTAACCTGGATCACTAGTGACTCGGTAGTCTGATTTCTTAGACTAACCTGGATCACTGATTACTCAGTAGCCTGTTGTGTTAGAGGTTGAAGAATATTTTGACCTTTCCCTGGCTTAAGCATAGGACAGAGAAATCTCTACCTGAGGAGGAGATTCACAACTGTCTAAGCATAGGCTATGAAGGTTAGACTGTCAGGATTCTCCCCCAAGGGTAGATGTTTCTCTCTCCAACCCTCAAACTAAGGAAGAATCCTTTTTCTATCCTTCATCTAGAACAAAAATTCTATTAATAGAATAATGTGACAAATATATGCAGACAAATATGAAAACAAAATTAAGCAAATAAAAGCTTTTTGTTTTTATTTTGATCAATCTATATTATACATTGTTCAAAGACGAGTGTAATGATCAATCACTGTCATTATGTATTGAAAAATTATTTGTATAAACATAAATGACCTACCATTTTCTTACTATAAAAACGTATCTTCATTTGTCAAAATCAACTAGTCACACCTCTCGTCTGAAATTTACAACTTCAGTTAAGCACATATTAATGTTCTGTGCATGCAGACTGTCTGACCCCAGTAAGGTAGAGACATCTCACCAGAAGTATGGATATTTCTGTCCGATGGCGTACAATTGGAATTCTGGTCTGCATTTTGCCTTTGCCACTCTGCTATAGCTAAACTGATTAATTTTCAAAATATCTGCTGGTATTTTGAACCATTTACGTGTGTAAAATTTGTTAAGATAATATGTACATTATTTATAAGTTTTAACATGATGTATTATTTTAAGATTTTGACGGTATACTTTAACATACCATAAATTTGTTGCTGTATAAAGACAGACCAAATGTCTTTATAACAAATGACATTGTGATCACTGTATATATAAGTTCTTGTGTGTAGTTGATTCCATAGAGGGTCAGTGCAATATACTTACTGTTACATGTAATTAGTAATTCAGTCTCGCGTTTTAAATGTAAGTGTAACAACTTTACTTTCCTACCTAATCAGATTGCCATGGTGATCATAAGTTTTACTTATTACTTAGGTAAGAAGGTGGTGAAAATCTGAAGCTGGTATTGAGGTGGAAGATGTGAAAATTATATCAATGTGTGATGTGTTAAACAAACATACCAAGGTGAAACATGAATGAAGAAAAAATGTCAATGTGTGATGTGTGCAAAAAAATTATACTTATTGCAATGTGAATGGAAAATATATGTATGTATGATATGTATGATAATTATAAAAAAGGTGAATTATAATGGGAATGAAAATAAGTTTTGAAATTTGTGAAAAGACAATATCACCACTGTACATTAGCCATGTTTACATTTTACATCCTTAATGTATAACAGGAGATATGTTTTGTATGCCTGTGTAGATGATTGTGGGGATATGCCTGATCCCAGTCATATTTAATGTTGTTGTGGGACATTTTTTTAATCAAACTTCTTTGTATGGTGTGTTGACCCTTGTTTGTTGGTCAGTCAATAAAACATCTACTTCATTCTAGATATACAGGTTTCTGGTGTCTCCTCAGTTGGATATGAGAGTAGTCATGTGCTCCAACAGTTTAGGGTGTATAAACAGAAGCCAACTAAGATAGAAAATTCTCAGACTTGGTTCATAAATAATAAAGAATACCAGCATTAGAAAGCACTTTGTTATTTTGTTTAAATGGTGACCAACACATTGCATTGACCTGAAGGTGACCAACATACTGCAGTGACCAACATACTGCACTGACCTGAAGGTGACCAACATACTGCACTGACCTGAAGGTGACCAACATACTGCACTGACCTGAAGGTGACCAACATACTGCACTGACCTGAAGGTGACCAACATACTGCACTGACCTGAAACAACATGCTGCACTGACCTGAAGGTGACCAAATACTGCACTGACCTGAAGGTGACCAACATACTGCACTGTAAGGTGAAAATAATTTAAGGTGACCAACATACTGTTGAATTTGTCAACATACTGCACTGTTGATTAACACACTGCACTGACCTAAGGTGAACAACACTGACCTGAAGGTCAATTTTGAAGGTGACCAACATATAATTCTAAAGGTGACCAACATTATCCTAAAGGTGACCAACATACTGCACTGACCTGAAGGTGACCAACATACTGCACTGACCTGAAGGTGATTAACACACTGCACTGACCTAAAGGTGACCAACATACTGCACTGACCTGAAGGTGACCAACACTGTTCACTAATTGGAAGCTGTCCGACATAGCATATGGCCTGAAGGTGACAAACAAGGAGTGCAATAACCCAAAGATGACCTACATTTTGCACTGACCTTAAGGTGGCCAACATAGTGCACTGAAACAAGTCCCAGAGTAAAAGAGTCTTGTGGTGTAATGTGAAAATAATTTAATTCTGTTATTTGTCAAAACGATGTTGTTTTAATAGTTGAAAACATTGGTCAATTTTTCTAATCATAATTCTAGTTTATCCTGTCATTGACTTCATTTACTGAAGATCCCCGTAATAATGATAAAAGATGGTTCCTGTAGATTTGTATAATTAGAAATCATATTTTGATGTTTAAAATTTGTTTGCTATAAATGCTAAATCTACACCAGTATGAATATTCTGGTACAATAATCCTCAAGATCAGCAGTTACAGCCGTAACCCTCAAAATCAGCAGTTACAGCCGTAACCCTCAAAATCAGCAGTTACAGCCGTAACCCTCAAAATCAGCAGTTACAGCCGTAACCCTCAAAATCAGCAGTTACAGTTGTAACCCTCAAAATCAGCAGTTACAGCTGGTGTTTCCCTTGCTAGAGTATCATTGCTTAGATGTGTTGTAACAAGTTTTAGGTACAATTAACGTTTCTAGACAATTTGAAGTGGAATATTTTATCATTACTTTCATTCTTAACAAAATTTCGAAAATAAAATGTGCTTAGTCTATTTTATATATGTTACATTACTTGCAATTAAGAAATAAACCAGAAATTTACTGACAAATGTTATCTCATATGAAAAATATTGATATCTATTATCTGTAATTTACGTTCAGTCTCTCAGCAGACAGAATACTGACAGTTGATTTTGATTAACAAAATCACTCCGTAAAAATATGTCTTCGATACTCCAGGGGTTACGGTGGTTACTTTCTCTCTCTGTACCCCTGGAACCATCTTCGATACTCTAGGGGTTACAGTTACTTTCGCTCTCTACACCCCTGGAACATGTCATGGAAAAATTGGAGGCACAATTGTAATTTGATTGGTTCCAAGTGAAATAAGCTGACCAATCACAGACTGGTGCGCTCCTTTCGAAGATTACAAAGCAGCGACACCGAACTTCAAAGCCATTTCAATATACCGTTATGCGACCTCGAGATTCGTTTGATGTAGATCAAAGGATAAAACCTGTCTTTTCGACTTGTCCGCAAGGTGTCGCACACGGAACCTTCGATTTTGCCATAATATGTTCCAAAGGTGTTGAGAGCGAAACTGATTGTAAATCATGGAGTGTCGAGGATAAAATCGGGTGAACTCTTTAATATTTCCCCGAACGTGTTAATTGGAAGACAACTTATTTCAGCAGGTGCCAACATCCCTTTCATGTCATTCATATACCTGTGTGCTATGACGCATTAGTCGAATTGAATATCAGAAAGCCTAATTGTAAATTTAATTGCGTTTATCAAATTAAGCTTGAACTATGTAGTTTCGGTTTTAACTACATTTGGAATAGCCAATTTATGCAAAATGAAAATCATTTTTTGCAAACCTATGCACAACATGTCCAGGATGTATTTAATTAAGAATTACGCAGTGCCTGTGATGCATCTTCCAAATGATATTTGTACAAGCACCTTGTTGATACATTTTGTACCCAGTTCTATCTGACAAAGCCCATTATTTTAAAGTTAAATAAATCATTGAGTCAATTTCGCATGCAAGGACACCATTTAACATAGAATCTGGGCGCTATAATAACATCCCAACACGACAGAGTATGTACACTGTAAAATAAAAATGACGTCGACGATGAATTACATTTTGTACTACTTTGTCCAGCATATTCTGATTTAAGAAAAAACGTACATTAAAAAGTACTATCATAGATCTCCAAGTGTTAATAAACTAATAGAATTATTTACCTGTAAAAGTGTTAAATCTTTAAACAGATTGGGTCAATATCTGCTATTCCTAAAAGAAAAAATCTCTCTGAGTCAGCATTATATTGGCATGTCATATGAAAGGATTAATTAAGTTGTACGTATAAATGTATAATAACAGTTATCTGATATTTGTCAGTAACTCGTTAAATAGTACTAAATAGATATGTCACGCTGCTTTTTATGTATTGTTTCTATGTTGTTGTCATTACTTCATGACGTCACATGTATACGTGTAGTAACGTCATACTTACGGTATTTCATCACGTAACTGACCAGTACTACATTAGATATATATAATATATATATGTGTGTGTATTTGAGTGGAATTGTCCTCCGCCATCTTGTACATTACATACATGAATTTTGATCATTTAATTACCTATACAATGTACTTATACCTATATGCTGTATTGCATTTTGATACTATAAAACTTGAACACTTTGCCAGTAAGCATAAGAAAAGTGGGACACCGTAATGAAATAACACAAAACAACGCATTTTGTGATAAAAATAAAAAAATAAAATAGTGAGTTGCCTGATTTTTGGCGACCAAAATAATCACTAATTATCACTAATAATCACTAATTAGATATATCTTTTTAAAATGTGAGCCGACATTTCAATCCTGTATGTCATACAGGTAGGACTAGTCGTCTTGCTGTCTTTTCCAGGTGAATTCAAAGTCCAATTTACTCATTAGTGTCAGGTCACCACCACTAATCCCCTCCGACCAACAGGTTCCCTGGCAAAGAGTATAATTGTGTATAGCCCAGGGCATTTGAGACTTTTTTAACAGGCTAAATTAATAACGCGATGAATATTGCATTTAAAAACACATTATATTTTGATTAATGCAATTTTCAATTTTCAAATGATAAAATCTGTAAAAGTGAATCACAGTTCCAATCACGGAAGTGAGCAAAAGATGAAAATCGCAAAACAGAATAAAAATATAGAATGTTGTTTTCAGCTACACAGAAGCTGCCCGGCACTTTAATTGTATACATTGATGTATAATAAATCAGAGACGTATATATGTATGTGTTGTATACGTCTCTGAATAAATGAATGAAAAAATAATATTATTCAAGTACTGGTAAGTAAATTTATTGTGAGGTATTCTACAGTATTAAAAAATGTGATTAATATCAAAATATATACATAAAACAGCGTAGTATGTGTATAAAGTTATTTGCTTATTTTCCATATTATTTTTTAAGAATTTGATAGTATGGTACCTAGTCCATCGTCCAGAGTGGCCTCCCCTGTGACCTCATCGGCAAGATGGCTGCCACGGGCTCATTCAGACAAGAAATGCCACCGCAAGGTGGCTACAAACCTGTAGATTGGAAGCAGCGAATACCAAGAGCATTGTCTGGTAATTTTATGTGAAAGTGAACAGTTTTAACTAAAATCTGTGATCTAACATTAGTGAAAGAATCTTGAACGGGGTCATACTCACTCACCTCTTGAAGACTTGTTGACATTCACAACTATCAGACTCTTGACATTGTGCTAGCACTTTTGTGATAAAAAGGCACATTGTTGTATTAAGCGTTTTGTTAACATAACTATGTTTTCCAGAGCTTCAATAGTACTAATACTACTTTTCAGGAACAATGACCGGCAAATTCGATGGTATAGTCTTTGGGTAAACTGGTAAATTTAATTCCTGCATGAGTCTAGCTGGTATGAGCGATAGCCCGTGTATGACCAAGGCAGAGATTACGACGAAAGTTAATTGAACAGTTTAAGTCTTTAAACATTGCTGATTTAGACTTGTGCATCTCACAAGAAGCAAACTGCTGTATGATATAATATTAATCGTTATTTCGATATTAGCTCTATTGTGCCTTATTCCCTTTGTGTGTGTATAGTATAGACTTTGATAAGTAATGGATTTAGTCTGAAAACAGGAAAAAGTAGATTAAAATGTAAGCATACACTTGAGATTTTTTCCAACTTTGGGAAATGTATGTACATTTATTTACTGTTGAATACTGGTTTTGTTCAATGTTTATCAATTTGGTCATATCTATATTGAATATATTAGATTTTATTTAATTATCAACATTTATTATTGCATGTAGTTCCAATGTTTAATCTGTCAGTAAATACATTTCTCCTGCAACTGGTGCTGCCATTGTCAGAATACACCTTCCACATATTTTTTTGCAGTGACAGAAAACAACTGTATTTTAGCGTGTGTGTTAATTTGACAGAATTATTTTATGAATTTACTTGAAAATGATGTTGAAAAACATATAAAACCTGTTGAAATTGGCAATTACATTTGTTGTAATGAACAAGTTTATTTACAAAAAATCATAAATGAGCTGACCACATGGGAACATTGTACAAGGTTTATGAAGGCTGATTGATAAGTTGTGAGCCTTGTGTTGGAGAAGTTAAGCAGGGACGTCCGTTTTCGTTTCTATTATTCCCCGACTATTTAAGGCTGTTTACCCAAAGACTGGTGTGATTTGGTCAGTTTATGTCAAAGAGATAGCACTCTTAAGAAAAAAAGGCAAGTGACTTTTGCAAAATAGACAAAATTGCTGAAGGAGTAGTGATTCAATATTTGCATAGGAAAGGTCTAGCACCTAAGGATATCCATACTGATATGGTAGCAACACTATGATGATGATTGCTTATCGTATCCGTGACTCTGCTCGTCATAGCAACACTAGGGAATGATGCCCCTTCATATACCCATTGGACCTCTTGTGATAGGACATTTATATGATTTATATGATAATACTTATTTTTATGTTAATGACCTTAGCAACTATACAAAAACTGATCCAAGTATAATAATAATAATAATAGACTTTATTTCAGGTCGATAACACTTTGAGTCAAAGACTCTTCTTACAAGCGGTCGACAGTAAAATGTACAGTATTTACAACAAAGTACATATTAACTAAATTATAATAGCAGAAGGTTAACTCGCCAAATCATTGTCTATTAAACTTCAATATCCTCAGTCTGTCAAGACTGCTATTTTCATAAGCATTTCTGCATTTTAAAGAATTGGTATTGCAAAGCTTCTAAGCGACTCAGAAAATACTCTAGAAATTTATTGACTACTTCTTCCTTAAGTGACAAGCTGCTACTGGATTATTTATAGGTTAATTGCTATGTCTTGTGGTGCAAACAATCGATAAATTTATGATTCTCTAGTTACAGTTTATAACAAGGAGCTCAGTTATGACTGCAGGCTCCAAGCTTAGCCAAGATATTTTATTGTTTTATTTTTTTTTCATGTTTCATTTTTTTATTGACTTTATTTTTGCTTGAGTTTTTACTATTAAACTGATGAATAACAAATTGTTTACTGCACCAAAATCATTTCCCGGCATGTTTTTTTTTTTTTTTTCTCGCCACGACTGCTGTATATGTGTCCAGTATAGTATAGTCCAATAGTATGTTTTCAAGGCAAAATTGTTGCATTTTAAATGCACTTAATGAAATTACTTATAAATGGTTAGCTGGTAATGATAATGAAAATGATGATAATGATAATTAGAATTGAAGGGATATAATGGAACAAAAAGTAAATGTTAAAAACCAAGAAATAAAACAAATGCTTTGATTATGAATTTAAAATCTATTTCTACCGTTGTTTTATTGCCATTTTAAAAAGATGTTGTAAGCTTATTCCATCTTCCAGGGTCCTGAAAGATGGGGCCAAATTTGTTTGCATTTAGAAAATCCTCTTTTCAAGACTTAGATACTGAAAGATCTAAAACTCACCATGGATGGAAATGTTCCATAGTTTTGTCAAAATTGTAAATTTCACTCAACATTCATATTCATGGAGTACAACATATTTCCATTGAAAGACGCTTTCTTTTAATTGACTTTGCTGCAAACTAGCACAAAATTATGTTGATTTGACAGAAAATTAACAAATGCTACAAAATGTTGGGTATGTTCATATATTCTTGATCAGAAATCTTGAGCTGTTATTCAAAAATATTAATGAGGTGCTCAGTGCTTTCTCATTTGATGAAAAACTTGACTGTTCTAATGTTGAATGTGTTTCAGGTGGACGTATCATGCTTGGAGGTTCTCTTATCTGGGGATTTTTTATAGCAAAGAAGAAATTGGTTGAGAGAAGATATATGTAAGTTCAAATGAAAGAGTGATGAACATGGTAGGGTATTTTGTGATTTTATATCCTTGTAACAATTGTCATATGAACACTGAATCTATAGTTGTTAGAGATGTTCAAAAGCCATCTCACTGAAGTATCATTCATAGCCTTATTCATGACACCAGTATATCTGAGATCCATGAAGTCAAGGTCATGTAACACTGTAAAAAAAACCAATAAAAAACAAAACGGGAGGAGGTAGGAAGACAAACAAAGCTGAACTCTCTACCTTTTGAGTATTGAATTTTTGTACATTTTTACTGCTACATTTGCACATGTTTACGGTATCATCTAATGATGATATTGTCTCTAGTTCTACTGGGTGTGGTCCTTTGGTACCTGTCATCCCTGGATGAACAAATGAAAAATTCACGTATTTACACCATCAAACAATAATTTGTACTAACAATGGAAGAGATTTTAAATTTGAATAGTGTGGTCCTTTTTGATATTGAGGAGTTTGGACCAAAATTGAAAAAAAAAATGTGGTTTTAAAATTACTTGAAAGGTTAAATAAACAAAATGGGTTTTGTCATCATTTGGCATGAAAGCCTAGGCACAGGGAATTTCATATGTTGACGATTGGAGAAAAAATCATTTGATTTGAGCTCTAGCGATGGTAATGGGTTACGAGCCTCTTGTTGTTTTGATATAGTTGCCTTATTCATTAACAGATTAGACAAAAGAGAATTGATGGATTCTAGGGTTGCCATTGCACCATTTCTTCTTGCTGAGCAACAAAGACAGTAAGTGTTTATAAACTTTTTGCTTATCATAACAGATGCTTTTACAGTTCTGTTTGATCAAAGTCTTTTATTTTTAGTACATACTTTGTAAAGGAGGCATGTTTACGAACAGGGGTGTAATGTCATTTGATGCAAAGAGAATTTGTGCTTATAGGAAGTAAAAGAGAAAACAATGCTGGATAGCATGTCTTTCAAAATCTACAATTAATAAACTTATGAAATTTCTATGGATTACAAACAAACTTTCAGGCCTAAGAATTAAGATATCTAAATTTTGAATAACCAGAAGTGCCAGCGTATCTTTATTTTGGCTACATGAAGGGTTTAAATGTCAATGGCAACAACATTTTGCAGGTCTCTGTCCTGTCATTTGTTTGATAATATCCTTAAACAACACAGTGTACCTTCACTGCTGAAATAAGACCAAATATAAAACTACCATATCATATGAGACTTCCACTGTATGTGCTAACACCAGTCACTACCGTCTGGTGGAATTAACACCACAGATTTAGGTGCGAAAGTTTCCCAAAAGCATGGACAGGTAATCAAACTTACCTGCAGCCAAATGCGCTCAGCTACAACCAAATTGAGAGGTGAAAATTTACTCTTGGTACTACCTAGGTAATATCTATGTCAAAGTACAGATATCTACAAAATATTGTTGCCTTCTTTTTTTGTTACCTTTCAGCTTTGTGGGTAAAACTGTTATGGTCGAATAACAAACTGTATCTCTTGTTTTATGGTGATGAACATGCTGATTAGACTGAGCAATTTAATGTACACAGCCGTATCTAATGGTAGAATTGAAATGGTGTGGTTACAGGTAGAAATAGAGCTACCTGTGCATTGTGCATTACACCGTTCACCTATTTAAGACATTAATGATTTTTCCTGAAAAAATTAACTTTCATTTTCATTGCTGCGACCTTTAAGAATTTTTGTCATTATATCAATCTGTCTTTTGAAACCAATGACATTTTGCTTATGTTACCTTGATCAAAGGTCATATAAGTCAGATAAATATGTTACAGTCCATTAAACAGTCTAGTGATGTCCTTGATCTTTTTTCCTCAGAGAAATGACAAGATTCAGAGAAAACCGTGACTATGAGAATGAACTAATGAAGGATGTCGATGGCTGGGTAACAGGAACGCTGTTCGGAGAGAAGGTGTATGTGGATGACGAACGGTGCTATTTTCCAGGAGGACAGGAGTTCTATGCTCATAATCATTGGATGTTCTATTACAACAATTATTACAAAAGATTGTCACGATTTTAGATCAATAAATTATAAGTTATAGTGTAGTGATCAGTTTAACATTGTAACATAATGAAACTCCCTGTAATGTGGAAAAAGAAACTTTTTGATGTTTGCTATTTGAATAAATATTGAACGAAACATGGATGTTATCTTTTATTTGATGTATGGAATCTGTGATTGGAAAATGTATTGAGTCTGATGTATGTTTTGAAATATTTCTAATGGTTTTATGAAGATATAGAGCCAACGCCGTAGTCTTTAATAGTGGATTACAATATCTTCGCTGCCCGCCTGGATACCCAAAGGTATGCAGGGGATTAAGGAGAAAGGGAAAACTTAGAGTAAAGATAACTCAATCCAACAGGTCGGGGGGCAGGTTCCTTAAAATTTATTAAGGTAGTTGGTCTACCGGTTTCGCCCACTTAGTCGGCCTTCATCAGGACTCCTTTGTCCCTAGTTGTACCCTTTTGATTTTGAGACTGATCAGAGAAATCAAAATTGTTGGCAGGCAGCAGTCTTGGGTTTGATAAATTAAAGTATGTTATTGCTGTTTCTTCAAAGAATTTCAAATTTCATATGATTAAAACCAAGAACAGAGGAAAGATTAGAAAAGATCCAACTTTTGAAGAACAAATTCAGACTTAACAATTGTGAGTGCAAAGATCCCTTCAGAATCTCTTGTATGTTAGATCAGACTTGTATTACTGCTGGATCATTGTAACATACAAGTTTCAACTGTATATCAAGCTTTGTAAAATCTCACCTGTTTTATGCTGGCCATTTTAGCATACTTGAAACAAAATTATATAGCAAGCATTTAAATATCTGATCTGTATTAGTGCTAAATATCCACAGATGACGGTTTTTGAGATCTCTTTAAAATGAACCAACTCATAACTATTTTTAAGAAAATGAGAGACTTGTATGTTGAGTATCAAAACTCCACAGTTTTCTCTCTTTTTTTGTGTTAAAAATTACAAGAGTTATCTCTCTTGCACTTGGCTGTCTGTCGAACTCTCCTCCGTAAATTCTGCAAGAGTACAGTGTTAGATGTGTAAGATGTTAAACATGGTCTACATCAGTATAATGTCTACTACCGTACTATAAACACTGTCTACATCAGTACAGTAAGCACTGTCTACATCATTACAGTAAACACTGTCTACATCGGTACAGTAAACACTGTCTACATCAGTAGAGTAAACACTGTCTACATCAGTACAGTAAACACTGTCTACATCAGTACAGTAAACACTGTCTACATCAGTACAGTAAACATTGTCTACATCAGTACAGTAAACACATCAGTACAGTAAACACTGTCTACATCAGTACAGTAAACATTGTCTACATCAGTACAGTAAACACTATCTACATCAGTACAGTAAACACATCAGTACAGTAAACACTGTCTACATCAGTACAGTAAACACTGTCTACATCAGTACAGTAAACACTGTCTACATCAGTACAGTAAACATTACAGTAACACTACATCTACATCTACATACATCAGTACAGTAAACTGTTTACATCAGTCTACATCAGTACAGTAAACACTGTCTACATCAGTACAGTAATCACTGTCTACATCAGTACAGTAAACACTGTCTACATCAGTACAGTAAACTTATCAGTACAGTAAGCACTGTCTACATCAGTACAGTAAACACTGTCTACATCAGTACAGTAAACATTGTCTACATCAGTACAGTAAACACTATCTACATCAGTAGAGTAAACACTGTCTACATCAGTACAGTAAACACTGTCTACATCAGTACAGTAAACACATCAGTACAGTAAACACTGTCTACATCAGTACAGTAAACACTATCTACATCAGTACAGTAAACACATCAGTACAGTAAACACTGTCTACATCTACATCAGTACAGTAAACACATCAGTAAAACATTGTCTACATCAGTACAGTAAACAACACATCAGTACAGTACAGTAAGTCTACATCAGTACAGTAAACACTGTCTACATCAGTACAGTAAACACTATCTACATCAGTACAGCAAACACATCAGTACAGTAAACACTATTTACATCATTACAGTAAACACATCAGTACAGTAAACACTGTCTACATCAGTACAGTAAACACTGTCTACATCAGTACAGTAAACACTGTCTACATCAGTACAGTAAACACATCAGTACAGTAAACACTATCTACATCAGTACAGTAAACACATCAGTACAGTAAACACTGTCTACATCAGTACAGTAAACACTATCTACATCAGTACAGTAAACACATCAGTACAGTAAACACTGTCTACATCAGTACAGTAAACACTATCTACATCAGTACAGTAAACATTGTCTACATCAGTACAGTAATCACTGTCTACATCAGTACAGTAAACACATCAGTACAGTAAACACTGTCTACATCGGTACAGTAAACACTGTCTACATCAGTACAGTAATCACTGTCTACATCAGTACAGTAAACACTGTCTACATCAGTACAGTAAACACTGTCTACATCAGTACAGTAATCACTGTCTACATCAGTACAGTAAACACTATCTACATCAGTACAGTAAACACTATCTACATCAGTACATTAAACACTATCTACACCAGTACAGTAAACACTGTCTACATCAGTACAGTAAACACTATCTACATATGTACAGTAATCACTGTCTACATCAGTACAGTAAACACATCAGTACAGTAAACACTGTCTACATCAGTACAGTAAACATTTTCTACATCAGTACAGTAAACACTGGCTACATCATTACAGCAAACACTGTCTACATCAGTACAGTAATCACTGTCTACATCAGTACAGTAAACATTGTCTACATCAGTACAGTAAACACTATCTACATCAGTACAGTAAACACTGTCTACATCAGTACAGTAAACACTGTCTACATCAGTACAGTAAACATTGTCTACATCAGTACAGTGAACATTGTCTACATCAGTACAGTAAACACTGTCTACATCAGTACAGTAATCACTGTCTACATCAGTACAGTAAACACTGTGTACATCAGTACAGTAAACACTGTCTACATCAGTACAGTAAACACTGTCTACATCAGTACAGTAAACACTATCTACACCAGTACAGTAAACACACCAGTACAGTAAACATTGTCTACATCAGTACAGTAAACACTATCTACATCAGTACAGTAAACACTGTCTACATCAGTACAGTAAACACTGTCTACATCAGTACAGTAAACACTGTCTACATCAGTACAGTAAACACTATCTACATCAGTACAGTAATCACTGTCTACATCAGTACAGTAAACACTATCTACATCAGTACAGTAAACACTGTCTACATCAGTACAGTAAACACTGTCTACATCAGTACAGTAAACACTGTCTACATCAGTACAGTAAACACTGTCTACATCAGTACAGTAAACATTGTCTACATCAGTACAGTAAACATTTTCTACATCAGTACAGTAAACACTGTCTACATCAGTACAGTAAACACTGTCTACATCAGTACAGTAAACACTGTCTACATCAGTACAGTAAACACTGTCTACATCAGTACAGTAAACACTATCTACATCAGTACAGAAATCACTGTCTACATCAGTACAGTAAACACTGTCTACATCAGTACAGTAAACACTGTCTACATCAGTACATTAAACACTGTGTACATCAGTACAGTAAACATTGTCTACATCGGTACAGTAAACACTGTGTACATCAGTACAGTAAACACTGTGTACATCAGTACAGTAAATACTGTGTACATCAGTATAATAAGCATTGTCTACATCAGTAAAATAGACATTTTCTGTATTAATTAACAGTCAGAAATCCTGTAAGCAAACTGTTTTGATTACATTTTACTTGAATATCATCTTTAGGTTTTATTTTTTTTCATGGATCATGTTAGTGAGTGTTAAAGTAGATGTCTACTTGGTGACAAATTCCAGCAGGATTGGTCAGAATTCTGATGATAACAAGTTATAGACAGCGACAATAGTTTATAAAAACATTGATCCTAGGTATTGTGTTGAGTTTATTTAGCTGTTCAAATTGTACTTAACAAACTTACAAACCCATTTCTGTAGGTATATATACTTACATTACTGGTAAATATTTCTCTATATCAATACACATAGCATAGGTCCATGTTCAAATAACGAAACAAAATAGTTTGAAATGCAATTTCGGATGTCCTTTTTGAAAACTATTGAAATATGTCTTAATCAATTTTGTGGAAGTATCTGAGGATAATACAACAAAATAAAATAAAAGATGCAATGAGTTTAGAAATATGGTATGTTATTGAAACCGACATATCAGCTGATGCCATCCTCTGTACATTGGTATGGTTTTACATTAACAAGTGTTTGGACGCTGTGACACTGATGTAACACGCAGGCTTATAAATAATCGGCATCAGCAATACTCCCAAGATCGTCTCGGAGACATCATCTGCCCTTGGTCCGCATTCTTGTCTCACTATCACGGATAAAAGTCGGTAATAATAGATTTAACAGTAAGTGACGGAAAGTGAGATAGATGGGATGTCTCTTGAGAGAATGTCGGGGTGATACATCAGTGAGTAGTCCTCCGGCGTCCAGCCACTGTATCATTGGAAAGCCTTACTCGGCGTCGTCAGTACAAAGTGGCGGCAATACCAATCATGCTGTTTGATTCAGCTTCCGTTTTACAGAGTCGATATAGTATTGGGCGTCTAGAAAATTACACAGCTATCCATAAATGGTGACTGACAAACGATCACATCAGCAGTCTTTTCTCTCAACAAACACTAAGGTAGATATATACACTGCCTATTAGAACTGCTTCAGATGTAACTGGTATGTAATTAACCTGACAGACCTGTGAACAAAATCGTTACCAATTTACGTTTGCCTGCAAAAGTTTAGAGTCATGTAATGACGTCATTATTTGAAAACGCACGAAGTGACGTCAGTTACTGACTAATATAATTTTGACCTCTTGAATTGCCAAACCTCGTGTGTTGATGTCTTCTTAAGTATAATTCACTCGCCATGTAGTCTGAACGTCATAATAAACGTATGCTGAACGTCGTGTGCTATTGTTATAATACTTACGTTGATGTGATAATGAAGTTCGTAACCCAACAAAATCAGACTGCATTCATAGCCTCACAAATGCCATTGTCCCTTTGATAACGAAGTCGTTATCATAATATTATTTATGTAATGTAAGCGACCAATCGACCCCTATGAATGAAGTTAGTTTTAGTCATGAATAAAATGGTAAATTGTCGTTATATTAATTGATTAACAACACATCATATTAAAATAATGCTAAACTGTTGCTTAAAATATAGAAGCATTGAACCGATGTCAGTTGTCGTTCACATCATGTGTAAATACCATAATATCTATGAATCGCAACTGACAAAGGCAAGGTAGACATGATAAGTATCAACACACCAGCAGAATTTGCATATGTCCAGATGTTTATGGCATTCGTGTTGTTTGTAGTGGTAGCTGAAATAATTCAAATCTGAGCTATTCATGGTTTTACGTCACCATAACAGCCAAGGTCATACAATGAGGGTGTTTGCGGATTATTGTGACATTAATGGACACTTTATAGTGTCACCACACTGAAATGTCATAAGCTGGATACATAAGCATGACACTCCACCAAGTCACGTTTCACTGACCACAGGCTAATAAGTCACCGAGTATTCCATCTAAATGCTTGTTATAATGATATTCGTTTCAGTGAGCTTTCTAAAACATCTCTGACGATATATGTATCAGCGAGCTTTTTAAAACTTTTCTTGTGTCCGTACGCAGGTCTGAGGAACCAGTAAGGATTTTTATGGTTTCGGTGTGTTGCATTTAGACAGTTTTGTAACAAGGTACGATGATACGACGAAGATAACCCTAACTTTATACATTTATCAACCTGTAATCCAGTGTAATATCCCCAGTGTGATATACCCCGGAGCACTGGCGCAGGTAGAAATCTATTGTGATGCCATGAATTGAAAACGGCGCAACAAAATAGCTGCTCCGATTGATTTGTCCTCCATGTTTTTTATTTCAAAATATGGCAACATAAAATGTTTATGATGTAAAGTATCTTAAATCTGTTTTCATGTGACGTGAGATTTTATGAAGCTGGCGAGGGTTCACAAAACCACTTTCTAAAACTCGTTTGATATAACCTCATATGAAATAAAAATTCACTTAAAATCCGATATGTAGCAGCCACACCATTAAGGTAAAAACGTGTCACCGGTCGTAACACGTGAGGAAAAAAACAGATTTCAAACTCACTTTTAGGGAATGCCGCATTTTGACATTGAAATATTTCTGGGTTCATCAACTTTAGTAAGAAATTGTCCATACCGATATTTGTTATTTCTAATCTAATCTCCTACGTAATCTTCATTACGGACGATCTATTTTCTGTACATGTCGATTTATAATTCATTGGTGAGGTAAATTGTTCATTGAAATTTCTTTGACTTTACATATCAAAATTAATGCAGCAAATCCGATATTCTACCGAGAGTAGAGTCATACGAAGTAGAATTTATTTGGTGTGTGATATCAATATATATATATATTTTGATAAGAAATGAAATCAAAAAAAGAAATAAAAACAAAAAACACCGATATTCCTACACCCAAAGAACCCTGCCAGGGTTGTACTTCATCAAGTTGTGTTCTACTAGATAGAAGTGTCTAAAGTTCCCACTCCTGTGAAATAGATGAAAATGTCAGTTCTAGGCTCTAAGCGATGACATTCTGATAAAGCACACCTGTGTGATCAATAGAGCGACTTGTGTTGTCATTTAACATCGCAAAGAATTAGCATAAATAGTAAAATCATAGTTCCAGGTGGTCGAGGTTTACTCTAGCTTACTTAAGACAGAAAAGGTATCGTTAATACAGTTTGACATTTCCAAGAACAATATTTATTTTATTATTACCATATCAATGAAGAAACATTCTTTGTAAGAAAAAAAATCCCAGAAAATCAAGCAACTTATCACAAAAATATCACATCATGACAATAAACAGAAATATATGTTTAATAAGCAATATACTTTAATAGAAGTATTCGGTGTTCAATAACTGCACCAAGTTACTACCAGTAAATACCGGATTCTCAATATCTACACCAAATTACTACCATTAAATACCGGATACTCAATATCTTCACCAAGTTACTACCATTAAATACCAGATACTCAATATCTTCACCAAGTTACTGCCATTAAATACCGGATACTCAATATCTTCACCAAGTTACTACCATTAAATACCGGATACTCAATATCTTGACCAAGTTACTGCCATTAAATACCGGATACTCAATAACTTCACTAAGTTACTACCATTAAATACCGGATTCTCAATAACTTCACCAAGTTACTGCCATTAAATACCGGATACTCAATATCTTCACTAAGTTACTGCCATTAAATACCGGATACTTTGACTCTATTAAATGTTTTATTTTTATTTTGTGTTGTACAGAATTACATATATATTTTCTTCGTTTTAGTGAAACATGTGTTTGGAATAACTGTGTGATATATATATCTGTAAACAATTTAGCGTATGTGTGACTGCTCATGTATGTGTGTCATCAATTATACAATGTTAATTGGATCAAATGATAACAGTATTATTTATGGACACGCGTATTATTGATAAATAAATTATGCCCGGTCTAATATCATTAAGGATGACTTCTACATACTGTGACCGTTAACTGACCACTGGGTACTTGGTCATTGTCCACCCAAATGTTCCATGACCCCTTCAGGCCAATAGCGCTTAATTGTTAGATTGATATTATTATTAGATAGTCCCTGGTTTTTCAGACGCATTATTTAAACCTAACACTCTCCCAACCATCAATCAAGAGACAGTTCAGTAACATAATTAAGTAATCATTTTTCTCGACTGTTGTTTTCTTTATTAATGAATTTGGATATCGAGAAATAATCGAATTCCGCGTGTGTTTCACGACATCTACCAATTTAAGGTTTTATGTCGTAGAATCGTTAGATCTTTACTTCAGATATTTTATATTGTAAAAAAATAAAGACGTGAGTTTTAGATAAACTGTAGAACTACGGTCTGGAAGTTGGATAACATCTATTGCGGATTGAAATTTAATCATACAAAATCTTGAAAATCTTTCAAACCAGCAAGACAAGATTGAGATATCACACAAATTGCGACAAAAAATTATCAGATATTACTTTGTGTAACAGAATACAGTATCATTTTTACCCAATTTTCAATTAATAATGATCCTTTTTTATTCTTCGACAAACTTTTGGCACAAAATAAATTCTGATTTTATCGTCATTAATTAATTATTTATTAATTATCTGTGATGTATGTAAGGTCTCTGCTACGTATCTCATATTGTTTATTTATCCACTGGTTAAAGGTGAGATACTTGTTAGTATCTCAGAGACCTGAAGAAAATCTACTTATGGAGTAAATCTGTCCCGGTTAACAGGATAAAGTTCCTCCACCAGATTCTTGTGTATGTTTTCAATTCACCAAAGCTAATCTCGAGAACGGTTTAATTATCGGTTTTCGGTCGACATGCGTGGTTCTTTAAGAGATACAGCACGTTCACTTGTTCAGTCGATGTCCACACGTCGAGGTTTAAACAATAGGGGAGAGATCGGTGAACTACAGGTTTTAGATAACTTGGGTTGACGTTTTGACAACTAAGTCTCCTTATTAAGATCTAGCTAAGTACGTCTGTGTACCTTAGAGCCTAACACACACCCTGACACATGGTGACACCACACCGCGTTTTGTCATTAACTAAACATCTTATTGAAACAAACACTGCTGGATACGACAACTCGCGTGTTTTAAAATCATTGGAAGGCAATACACGGGCCAGTATCATAGGGATCACAGAAACAAAGTTGGGCAGATTTTTCAACAAAATTCTGATAGCAGCGGGACAGTATGTTGAACCATGTTTTTTTTGCGGTTCGATAATAGTTTTATTACTTTAAAAATACCGGTGTAGGTTTTGTTTTACACCAAGTAGAAAAACCAATTTTTCTCTTATTGTAAAATAAAAGCGGCGTAAAGCCGTTTTACAATATTCTTGTGCTGTACAATTGTAGTATCAGATACGAACTGACGGTCGCGAACACTCGCCCACAGAGGGCTGATAACACATGAAAGCAGGGGTCACTTTTAAAACGGGCACTGTGCCTATTTTCATTTATAGTATATAATTGATCCACAAGAGGGAAATTTAATGAAAACACACCGTAGTAAGTCAGATCCGCTGGAGGTGTCGTGTGAACACGCTCGACCAATCAGCGGCCAGCATGCATCGAAAAAGACAAATTGGTTTTTAGTTTGAGGGCATGTTGTCAGAGGCGTTATTCAAACGGAACTTTAGAACGAAGACAGAAGGAAACGGAGAAAGTCTTCGAGGATATCTAGGAGGTGTAACCGTTAAGGCGGTCATAGTGCATGTTGTGCTTCTGGTGTTTACATTGGCGGGCTGTACCCTGAGAAGTGACCCTAGACTGGAGTACTAGCAATCATTGAAACATATTCCCATCGGCTCTTCATTTTCTTAAGAGAAGAAAGAGAAAACACGGAAATACTGGAGTTTTCTTGGATGTTTCTGCACACTTTGTGATTTTGATCTATTTTCATTTAGTTTTTTTTTTTTTTTGTGAAAAATGAAAGTTTGCCCGGATGTACAGCATGGAGACACACAGCACGGACTGAGAGGGTAGTTTCTAGGATCTGTGATTTTGGCAACTTCCAACAGACGATATAGAATGGGCTGTTCAACAAGACAATATATTTCTATAATTTTGGTGTGCATTTTGCAGAACGTACACGCGTCCTGGTGGTAAGTATTGATCATTAAGTTTAAAAAATTGTTGTTACTGTATTTAACCTGTCTCTGTTGTGTTGGATACCTTCAGTAGAGACCCAGTGATAATGATCCGGGATATTTCTTACACTTTCCTTTCTATTTCTATTATACACAGAAGCAGCATATTAAATAAAAATATATAAGAAGTTACGTAATTAATTATTGGATGAAACATTTTAAAGAATGTAATGTCAGAAAATCTGAAAGAAATAAAACGGGATGAAGGTAACAAACTCGATTTGTAAAGATGATATTTTTCACTGTAATACTTTTTAAATGGCCAGAACTTAATAGAAGTGAGTTCTGCCAGGAATTGGACTCTGGAGAGGTGACGATTTAGTTCTGTGATGAATTCTTTAAAAAAACTTAGATGTCAAATTTGCATTAAAATTTATTTGAAACTATCTAATATTCAGTTGAATAGAGGGGAAATATAAACTTTTTTTATAATTTTGATAAAGTTGAAAGCAAGAGAAAAAAAAATAACAAATAGCTTGCCTTAGAATAAATATTCCTAATTTGTTGACCATATTCAGTTTAATATGTTTTATATGTACGGGACGGGGTAACAACATTACAGGTCTAATTGTGTAATAATAAAACCTACCGCCGCTACACGTGCTTTTCTTTGATACGTGGGATATTAAACACGTGTTATATTGGGGGCTTCTGTGTCGGATACCGAACCAGATAGGTTTGTGATGGAGTAGTGTAAGATAATCGTCATGTTCGTTTAAAGTCATCATTTTCGCCAAAATGTCCGTCCAATTCCCGTATATTTCTTGTAAGTGAAAAATATATGAGATAAATTAACACATATACAGCAAGTATAATTCTTTAATAGGGATGTTAAAAATATTTAATAAAAGCAGTTGTGCCCTCTCCCCCCTCTTATCCCCCCCCAAAAAAGTCTTAATCCAGACACTTAGAAATGCATTTATTTTATTTGTGTATATCCAGAACGTCGATTTTATTTCCATACAGCACCGTGATATGTACAAAGGTCAAGTTTATATAAAAGTTTGAATTGAATTATTTTTAATAGTAAAGGTTGTGGACTTGAAAATGAATCACGTAGTTACGTAACATGTAATGTTTAGACATGTTTTTCCGGGGGACAGGGCGAAGTGACACCAAAGGTGCGACGCGGGTGGGGTGCTACCTTCTCATAGTTTCGTACCGATTCCTGTACAGATTAGGCCAATGGCAGAATAATGTGTGAGCTGAACAGATATTTTTACACCTAAGTTTTTTCCATTTCCTTGGAAGTGATTGATACCCTGCGGGAATCATTTTGTAGAAATTAAGACTCACTGTGAGACGCGAGACCTCCCCCACGCCATTCTGTAATCGATCACACTCGTCCAGCTACTGATATTATCACTAGATTCTATATCTATTTGTCGACTGTTGTAACAATACTTGTACAGAAACAGGGCCAAAAATTCACCAACCAGACCTTTAAGAAACATTCTCTATGTACTTAATGGCAGATGGACTGGGGCAATGTCACTTTTTACACAAATTGTCAATATTGGTGAAGTTAGTTTTAGTTTGGTGACGAAAGATTAAATCTCTAATTTCTACTTTGACACACGAGTCCTTGATGACCTGAAGTGACACTGAAAGATATTTCAAGTTAGAATCTTCAACTCTCAAGATTATAATGAAGAAATTATGCATGGACACGTATGAAGTAAAAAGATCGCTTCAGTGACATGTAAATTATACCAGTTGTTTACTGGACTTCTAAACTTCAATTCACATTAAGGATACCCGTATCACTGACTAATTTACCTCCGTAAAGAAGAATTACACAGAAAGTTACATGCTCAGGAATTACCTTCTTTACCACCACACTGGGTTTCATGTTGGTTTCATTCATGAAAATAAAGGTACTTGAAGCACTCATCTTTATATTTCTGTCTAAATTCTAGTGTCGAGCGGCACGCGTTAATACGTGTCATTAAGACCGCAGTTAAATGAATGAATAAATAAATAAATTGTACACAATAGACGGATGCTGTTTTCCACGTAAATTTGCTACTGAATTGAGCCATCACGTTATCTGGGTAGTCGATCTTGAGAAACAACAGTGTCTCTAATTAGTGATGTTTCTAATCACTTTCCTTACGCAACTTGATTGATTGGTATCCGAACCATTTAAGAGTGTAATGTTTTATCATGTATGTATGTCCATGTGTGGTTACGCGGATTCGACCCCAGACGATCATCTATATATTATCACGTTATAAATGCCGGGCTTGGGATTCTCGCGGACTAATTAGGCAAAACCAACACTTTGTAGCTGTGCACCACCCCCAAAACTTCGCTGACCCCTGACCCCAGTAATGGCCCTTTAGTTCTGCCCCATATACTCTGGGCCCGTTTCTGTGGGGGAGTAGACGTTATTGGGAGGTAATCAGGCTGTGGTGGGATACATTTAAACTAGTAATTGACAATCTCTGCAAGTCATTTATTTTTGAAACTTCCCTTCGAAGTTCAATCATTCTTGCATTTTTCTGTTTGTTTTTTTAATTGCACTGTTCGGTTTTCTATTTTCGTTATCTTGTCTGAATTCATTGTGTTCTTTTTCTGTGTTATATCATAAACAGAAAAAACGAAATTATCACATCATTTACGGAATTGAAATATGGGCAATAAATTGTATCTAGTACATAAAGAAATGCCTCACAGTGTGTGCTGACAGGTCCTTGATCTCATCACGCTTTGAAGTGTCGATTTTGACAACGCCATGTTGTATAACGACTACGTTTATGATTTATTAATAACGGTGATAATAGTGGTGCTGCAGTTCATGTTGAAGCCCGCGGGTACGGGCACTTTGTACCAATATTTGTCGTGTTCTCACGCTGCTTACGCCCGAGGTGTGAGCCTTAGGACCACGTCATATCAATTAATCTACCCGCATTAAGCACAATTTTAATTACAGGTAATTAAATCACCCAGCAATAAATAGTAACGCTAAATCGTTTGTAGTCGTCACTTTTTGTATGGATTGTTTACACCTATAGGTTGAGGTGAGAATACCTTTGAAGATAGACGAACAATAGGTAAAACCTTTCATCTTTTCAGCGCATAATTAAACACCAATGTACCAAGTGACCCGTGTCTGAATGCCCCGCGGGATCATCGTGGTCACTGAGTCGTGTTAGCTCTGACCGTGGGAGGGTCATTGTGCTGCGACACAACTCGCCGGTATAAGAATTGGTGGATCCTTGTCAAATGTCAGACGTAAATAAAACATGGCAGTCTATGTACAGACGAACAAATCAATATTATTGTTAAAGAAAAGATGTTGAGCTATTGTTCATAAGTCCTGCATTGTGACGTTACAAATCCCAGATAATTCTTCCTTGGCCTACGGGCAACGTTCAGACCTGCTATAGATGTTTTAAACATGTATAAAAAATAGTTTATATATCTGAGCAGTTCCATTTACGTTTTGTACTTGTATGTTAACTTATTTCCTTTTTTCCACCAAGTAACAGGAGAAAATGAAAACTGCATGGTAATAAACAGGTCGAAAGCAAAGCTGTTTGTTTTACTCTCAAAAATGCTGATCATAGTTGAATGTACTGAACACGAAGTAGTTGCCTCACCATTATAAACATAACACCCTGGTATGATGTTGTACGTGGGTGTAAAAAAAATAACAAGTACCCGCTATTTTGTTGACCACACCCAGGCTTAGTGTATTTTATTTAATTATTTTTTATTCTCTAAAGTGTGTTAACTGTAAAGGAGTATCATTTTCATCAGAATGTGTAATTATATCTTAGAAATGCTTAATGCTTGCACAGTGTAAAGTGCTATATTTTATGTCTATTACATACAATATGGAAGTGAAATGATACTGTAATACTTATTCTTCTCTAAGATATGTAATAAAGATAAAGAAAAGGTTTATTTTCGTTAGAATAAATAATTACAATATATTGAAGAATTACAACAGTATGGATGTTTATCTAAACTAGTGTTTCGTTCTCTTCTCGATTATAACGTTTAATTCTTGATAGAATATGTATTTGAAGCTTACAAGTGATTCATCATAACTTGTATAAATAACTGTTTTTCTTTGTTATATTATTTTATTGGGATGTAGATTTATGTTATTCTTTTTCTATACTAGGTTACTATGATACAGAAATATGTTATTCTTTTTCTATACTAGGTTACTACGATACAGAAATATGTTATTCTTTTTCTATACTAGGTTACTATGATACAGAAATATGTTATTCTTTTTCTATACTAGGTTACTATGATACAGAAATATGTTATTCTTTTTCTATACTAGGTTACTATGATACAGAAATATGCTATTCTTTTTTCTGGGTTATTTTATTATGATAAAGAAATATGTTATTTTCTAGGCTAGATTACTATAATACAGAAATATGTTATTCTTTTTCTAGGCTAGGTTACTATGATACAGAAATATGTTATTTTGTAGGCTTGGTTTCTATAATACAGAAATATGTTATTCTTTTTCTATACTAGGTTACTATGATACAGAAATATGTTATTCTTTTTCTATACTAGGTTACTATGATACAGAAATATGTTATTCTTTTTCTATGCTAGGTTACTATGATACAGAAATATGTTATTTTCTAGGCTAGGTTATTATAATACAGAAATATGTTATTTTCTAGGCTAGGTTTCTATGATACAGAAATATGTTATTCTTTTTCTAGGCTAGGTTTCTATGATACAGAAATATGTTATTCTTTTTCAAGGCTAGGTTTCTATGATACAGAAATATATTCTGTTTTTGCTATAGTAATTATGATGATACAAAAAACTTTAGTTATTCTCCCTAATGCAAGCCTAACTATGATGTTCCTATAAAAAACAACCATTACGATAAAATGTTACCCTTTTTATAGTATTGACCACCACCGCCCCTTTTCTTCCTCCTCCTCCTTTAAAAAGTGACTATTTGAAAT